AACTGGCTGTACTACCAGGGCCGTTGGGGCGACGAGCAGCTGCCAGACAACACTCCCGGCCAGGTCGAGCTGTTCGGCCAGCGCAAGTACACGACGGGACCTAATGGGCCGATGTTCAAGGAGCTCGTGAGAGATAAGATATGTCCAAGTGGCGTGAAGCTGTGCCTCGTCCTGCCGTGGGTGACTGCTGTGAATGAGGAGGAGAGGAAGCAAGTACTGGCCGATCTGGTCAAAGAGGAGCTCGAGCGCGAGAGCAAGAAGCATCCAAACCCCCTCAAGTGATCCTTTTTCACCTTTCCTCCCCTTCTTGTGCTTGTTCTTGATCTTGTTCATGCTCATGTTCATGTTCGTGTTTACGTTGACGTTGATGTAATGTTTCCTTAATACCCTCTCGATATTGCTGCCACTTTCCCTTGCAAACCTTCAACGCATCGTCAAGACGTTTGTCTTCACAGCACCCATGCTTCTCCGGAACAGCATCGCCGGAGATGCCCCTGAGCTGTCACTGTTAGTGCGTTTCAGGTCGAGCCGGGATCGAAGCTAAGAAGAGAGGTCGACTGAGCAGAACACAACCACCTTGGACGAATCAGTGCTAGCGGACAGAGCTGCGGAGCTTCTCTCCAGCTGTCTTCTGGCGTCCTGCTGTCTGGTTGGCCTGCCTGGCATCTCATCTCGAACTCCTCGAGCCGTGGCCTGTGACCGTGTTGATATCTGCGTTTTTACCCCTGAGCGAGCCCCCGTGTTTTCTTACTCCAAACATCCACCCGCTGCGATAGAGCAAGTAACAGCGTATAATAAAGACGATAATAAAGACACCTTCTCTAAAAAAGTCAAGGACGAGGATCACGACGAAGACGAGGACAATATAATAACATGTAACCGCCCAGTGGATGTCGCCTCCTTCGTAATAAATTATCCCATCTGGCACTAAGCAGGAGGGAGACGGCCTCTAGCGGGTTCGCCTTGAAGCCCCTTCATCTCGCCCCTGGACTTTTCTTCTTCTTCTGCTGCTTCTGCTGCTTCTGCTGCTTCTGCTTTTTATCTTCCTCGCGAAGCTCGCCTCTTCCTCTCGTTTTATTCTTCTTTTACTTCTTCTCTTCTTTTCCCTTCGCTGCCTACTTCTTCTGCCGGCCGGATCTCGACTCGCTGTGTCAATTGACCTTGACGGCGCTGGACAAGCAGCACCAGCTACATCACACAGGAAACGCATACGAGCAGCCGCAGTTTCAGCACTTCGCCAGGACAGGGAGCCTGGGGTCCAATCCTGTATTCCACGGGATTGCGAGTGTACAGTCCTTCGCGCGACCATTGCAACGGCCTGGCTGGCGGCATACTGGCCTTGTACAATATCTATTTAGATTGGAACCGCTTCCAACGGCATACAACAGCCACAGCAACGACGGACGAGAAAGGGCAATAACAGAGACACTCTCTGAACACAGCAGCGGTACAGCTCGCCGATCTCAATTGAATTGCCTGTTTCTCTCGTTGGGTGACGCTGCTGGCGACGTTGATACTGACTGGCCGTTGATGTATGTTTAGATAGATACCACAGAGCCATCGCACAGTGCAACCACCGCCCGAGACGCCGGAACCCGAACAGAATCTGATAGCCATTACTGGATAACGGGCAAGAAAAAGAGGAAGCAGACGCTAGGTATCCAGGTGTCTGTATAATAAGCACGACGAGAGCGCAACCATGGAGGCCTCTCTTCCCTCGCGGCCGCGCACTCCCAGCGACTCCAACACCAACAACACCAATACAACCACCGCCAGCAGACCAGCAGCAGCACCGCGACGAACCTCACTCGGCTTCCTGCGACGCTCCAAGTCGACCGAGCACGTCACGGAGCGCAAGACGTCCAACAAGATCAGCAAGAAGATGCTGCGGGAGCAAGCCCGGGAGGAAGAAGCGCGCCGCCAGCGAGAAGCCGCCGCTGTCTCAAAGCATGCGCCGCGCCTGCCGGACCTCTCGCCGGCGCCGCAGCTGAACTCGTTTGGAGGCGAGCGGATGGCCTCGTACCAGCATCAACAGCATCTCCAGCAGCAGGGCCAGCAGCAGAGCTACCAGACGAGGCCAGTGATGGATGTGCCGCCTGTTCCCCCGTTGCCGCCAGGCGCGAGAGCTGCCCTGTCGAGAGACCCCTATGCTGCTTCGGACAGCATGACGCACCGTGGACGGTACAGCTATGCCAGCAGTGCCGTGAGCACTATCAACAGCCCTAGAAGGGTTAGGAGACGGAAAGATCCTACTCCATACAAGTGAGTCATTATTATTATACCAGTTCATTCTATGTACTTTTGCCTAAGTGATACTAACTGTTTGCTGTTAGTATCCTGGTGGTTGGAGGGAAGAACTGCGGCAAGACGTCGTTCCTCGAGTTCCTACGCACCTCTCTGGCCCTGCCACCGAGTAAGCGGCCGACCAAGCCAGCAGAGGATGAGGAGGCTCGCCCGCAGTCGCCCGGAACCCCCTTCACCTCGCGCTATCTCGAGGCCGAGATCGACAGTGAACGCATAGGCCTCACGCTGTGGGACTCCGAGGGTCTGCAGAAGAACATCGTTGACCTGCAGCTGCGTGATATCACCAGCTTCCTGGAGAGCAAGTTCGAGGACACCTTCGCAGAGGAGATGAAGGTCGTTCGTGCACCCGGTGTCCGTGACACCCACATCCACTGCGCCTTTCTCATCCTCGACCCGGCCAGGCTTGATGCAAACATTGAGGCAGCGAAGAACGCCATTGCTCGTGGCCAGGCAAAGGAGGCCAGCCAGTACATCGGTGGACTAGACGTCGAGCTGGATATACAGGTCATCCGCACCATGCAGGGCAAGACCACCGTCATCCCCATCATCAGCAAGGCCGACACCATTACCTCTGCCCACATGGCCTTCCTCAAGAAGACGGTCAGAAACAGCTTGAAGCAGGCCGGTATCAACCCCCTGGAAGTGCTGGCGCTGGACGAGCAGGAAGATGCCACCTCCGACGAGTTTGACGAGAATGAAGAAGACGAAATGCTCAAGCAGATGGAAGATTCCGGTGACATCAACGACAACGAAGACACTACTGGTGACGAGTCAGGAGAAGGACAAAAGCAGCAGAAGCCTGGCCGCGCATCAAAGGAGCCAGCAGAGGACGAGTCGGCCATCGACCAGGTCTTCCCTCTCTCCATCCTCTCTCCCGACCCGCACACGCTGAACAACAAGGACGAGAAGGTCGGCCGTCGTTTCCCCTGGGGTTTTGCTGACCCGTACAACCCAGAGCACTGCGACTTTGTCAGGCTGAAAGACAACGTCTTCAGTGAGTGGCGAGGAGACCTGCGTGAAGCCAGTCGTGAAGTCTGGTATGAGAGATGGAGGACCACCCGTCTCAACCGGACAACTAGAAATCACACCCAGCAGCAGCCGCAGCAGCAACAGCAACATCACTACCCCAACAGCGGACGAATGACGAGATGATTCCCTCGGTCAACGTATTAACTGTCACACCAAGTACGACGCTTGATTCCCATTTTCTTTTCCTTTTTACCCCTTTTTTTCCTTTCTAGACATGCAGAGCATTGCATTCCTGGTGTCAACGAGTCCGCCATTCACTGTATAGGATACAGCATTGGCAGACCGGTTTACTGGATACACGCACACCTGTTATCTCTTTCTCTTCTCTTCTTCTGCCTCGTTTTTTTCCCACTCCTCTTTCAATTCTACGGTTTGAATGATACTTTCTACTTGATACCTCTTTTCCCTCCTCCTTTTCCATCCCGGACTGAGAGCGCTGTTAAATTATTCTCCTTCTTCTACTTTTTTTCTTCTTCCTCTACTTCTTCCCTTTGCCTGTCTTATACTTACATTCGCCCAGTCTGTCGACGTCAGTTCTTCCAAGTCCATTCACTCTCGTGTTTGAATGCTCCCACTGTACCGTGTTTCCTTTGTACCTTTCTCTTCGTCCAGGACCTCATTGCAGATTAATCCTAATCTTTACTTACTCTTTTCTCCAATCCTCCACCAATATCTATGCATCAACAGTAGATCAAATAGTAATAAACACCAAATGTATTCAAAGTAACAATAAAGTCGAGGAAATAAACAAAATCAACCAATAGGAAAATCGCCACTGAGGCTGAAAAAGCAGCGAATCAAATGACGTCGATTTTTTTATTTTTGCTTCTCCTGAAGATTCGAAGAAAAAGACGAAGAAGTAGAAAATTATTTCATCTTCTCTATCATTTTTTTGTCTTCCAGCTTTCAATCCTTTGACCCTTTGGTATCTTACGTCTGCCGCCATCTGTATAGGCTAGATGGCACTGTCGATCCCCTAGAGACGTCAACGTCAGCGTCAGCGTCAGCTTCAGCTTCAGAGTCGAGCGTGATAACTATGGCCTCCCTCTCAGCAGCGTCCCGCATGCACGGCGGCGGCGGCAGCGGCGACGGCAGCGGCAGTGAGAGAATACACACACATACGAACAGGAGTGTGCTCGTGCAGTCAGGCGAGACGGACGATGTCGACGTCGCTCCGGGGCGAGAGATGGTCGAGAAGCCGGCCGTTAAGCCATGGGCTCATTTCCTTGCTGGGGGGTATGTCCAACCAACACTGACACTAATTGACACTTGACACTGGAATGTAGCAGTTGAAAGGACTAATGCTGACGATGAGGTTCTAGACTCGGTGGAATGACGGCCGCAACGCTTACATCCCCGCTGGATGTGCTCAAGACTCGTCTGCAGTCGGATTTCTACCAGGCCCAGCTGCAACAGCTTCGCGCCCAGCACCCACTGCCACCGGCCAGCTCGTCGATTTCCGCCCTTACTCGCAGTGCAGCGTTACATTTCAGCGAGACGATCCAGATGCTGCGGTCGATACATGTCCATGAAGGCTGGCGGGCGCTTTTCAAAGGCCTAGGCCCCAACCTGACTGGGGTCGTGCCGGCGCGAGCTATCAACTTCTACGTGTACGGCAACGGGAAACGGATACTGAACGACTACTTCCGGTACGACCCAAACGAGTCCCCTGTTGCCATCCATCTCGGCGCCGCAGCCATCGCGGGCATAGCGACGGGAACTGCCACAAACCCCATCTGGCTCGTTAAGACGAGGATGCAGCTGGACAAGAACGCCTCTCAGCAGCAGCAGGGAGGCGGCCAGGCGGTGAGGAAAAGGCAGTACGCCAACTCGCTAGACTGTATCCGCCAGACCGTCCGACACGAAGGCATCCAGGGCCTGTATCGCGGCCTATCAGCTTCGTATCTGGGTGTGTCCGAGAGTGCGCTCCAGTGGGTGCTGTACGAGCAAATGAAGCGTGTGCTGGCCCAGCGAGAAGCCCGACTGGCTGCTGATCCATCGCACGTCCCCGGCTGGACTGACGATGTGATTTCGTGGGGCGGCAAGCTTGTGGCGGCTGGATCCGCAAAACTGGTGGCTGCTGTAGCGACCTACCCGCACGAAGTGGTGCGAACGCGGCTGCGTCAGGCGCCGACCGTTCAATCCGGCTCAGGGAAGGCTCAGATGAAATATACTGGTCTGGCGCAGTGTTTCAAGGTTGTCTGGAAGGAAGAAGGCATGGCGGGTATGTATGGCGGCCTCACGCCTCATCTGCTCAGAGTCGTGCCTAGCGCAGCGATCATGTTCGGGATGTAAGTCTCCCCCTCTCTCACACCCACACCCTCCTCCCGGTATCTTTTCCATTTGCCGTCTGCCTTTTGAAGTGAAGCGGTACTGATACGAAGTGTAGGTATGAGTTGATCCTTCGACTGTGTGGCACAACGGCATGAACAGTCTGCCTACCTGCCTATGTATTATTATCACTTGCTGAATCTTTCCTCATCATGCTGGGGTACGGGCGTTTACCCTTTTATATTTCCTTTTTGGCTGGGAACGTTACAAAAAATCACATGTAATTCTACCTTATACAACATACATGGACATGGAGTTCCGTTGGTTGCTTTGTCGTGTCTTATTATTTTGGCGTTATTTGGAAGAGAGATCCTGTCGATATCAGACGCCTGTACGAATACCAACCATATCATTCATCGATGCTGCTGCTGGTGCTGGTCCACTCTTTTGGTATACGTCACTTATTTTCGCTGCCTCTCCGCCTACTCAGGTTGGCCCCTACGATTTATGGATGCCTTCTCCCTTCAAGCGTCCAAGCATCCCAGAAACCAAAGGCGAAATAAGGATTAGGGTTCTGACCTCCGTGGGCGTGTATGGGAGAGGACCATGTCTTCTTGACGCCTGTGAACAAATTACAAGCCGCCTTGACCGATCAACGACCCCCCCTGGGCTCCCCCAGAACCGGGCGCCTAAGGAGGCCAAGGGTGCATGGCGCAGCCAAAGACCCGGGTGAGAGAAGTCTGCCTATGCTGGATATGAGAAACATGGCTCGCCGCCTAGGAGGTAGAATGACTCGTATGGAATGCAGAATGGGCTTTTATTATATTACTTTACCGCAGTCGCCATTCAGAGCGGTAACTAATACGTACAAAAACAAAACCGCAAATGCTCACGCTAAGAGCTCTTCTTTCTGACTCTATAAAACCAACGACTTTGTCCTCTTTTTCTCATCGAAACACCTCTGTTTTTCTATCATCCACCTATCCATTCATCTATAATCCATCTACTGATTCACCTATCCATTCTACCCATCCATCCATCCTTCCATCCTTCCATCCATCATCAGTATGGCAGATCAAGCTGGCTCTTCTTCCTCCAACAACAAGTAAGTACCTCTACCATTAGGTGACTATCCCTGGCCGCCTGCATGGACTAACATCGTACAGTGGCTCTCCTAGCAAAAGCAACTCGGACAGCGACCCCTTTGGCTTGAACCAGTACATCAAGCCTGTCTCTGATCCCTGGTCTGCATACAACATGACCTACACCTCCTCCTTGTCGTCTTCCTCTTCATCCTCTGGCCCAACCACAAACACGAGCAACAAGGGTCCCGCCTCGAAACAATAAACCAGACCCTCCATCCTACTGATGATATCCTTTAGCATGACATGCCTCGTTTGCCAGTAGGATGGCTTCAACTGCGCCACCTAAGGCCGCCGTACAACGTCGTTTTCGGGCCCGTTGCCTTGTCTATTCCAACTTCAAGTCTTCTCCTCTTTTTTTTTTTTCTTGCATAGCCATAGATAGTTAATGAAGCAATTCATCTCTTTCCCCCATCCTCTTCGTCCCATGTTAAATAAAGAACAAAGATTAAGTTAAGCGGGCGGGCCGTTCCCCTTGGCCCCAGCGCGAGTTTAACCACCAGAGGCCCACCCTTGGGGCCGTAAGGAGCCTAGTTAAACTCCCTGTGTGTGTGTTATTCAGTTGTGGGTTGTGGGTTGACCCGGCCTGGCCTGCTTCGCTCTGGTCGCCACATCTTGTTTCTTCATAGAAGCCTTGTGCCATGGGGATACGCTCGCACCCTGCATGGTGCCTGGGCGGTCAGCTAACTAGCTGGTTACTTTTACTCCCTGAAAAGCCTGCCAGCTCGGAGAATTACATAGATATGTACCAGGGGACGATGTCTTCGGGCGTTGTTCCACCGAGCCAGTTCCGATCGATGGCCCAGCGAAAAGCCACATACTCCATCCATACTCCATCCAGGCTGCAATATCCGGGATGGATGAAACGCTCGATCAGCCAGCTGTCCTGCATGTCAGGCATATGGGCCCCTGGCAGAGATCTAGGCAGACGGAATCCCAGCCAGCCCAAATCCAAGAGAGAGACAGAGAGAGGGCCAGAGATCGATCAGCAGGGCTTGTTTCTTCACCGTCTGCACCGTCTGCCCCTCCCCTCCTTCTTCACGCACCCCCTGATACACGCAGCCCGTCGTTATCAGCACAACACGACGTTACACGGTCAAACACTGCGAATGGATCCGGGATACGCGCTGTTCCATTGGCGGGAAAGCTGCCCCGTCTGGCGAGAGCATCTGCTATCTGCCGCCAGCCTGTCTGGATGACCTTCTACAAGCCCGCCAGCTACTCCTGAAATGGCAGGTGTGGGAGGACGATCACAACCAGCACTCCCGCTTAAAGATCTTGTCTTTAATTACGCTGCCTATCATGAACCTAATCAGCCAGCAACAGCAAGGCACCGGCCAAATCAACGTTCGATGTGGCAGTCGCTGGACGCAGGACATACACGAACCCTGCGCCACGATCTCATTTATCTCCAGGATCGACTCTGGTGGTGGAAACGTTAAACACTGCAGCCCGTCCCTCTGTCTGGCTGTTGCCTCGCCCTTTTCTCGTTCTGCCTGGCAGTTGTGGCTGGTGAACAGGGCGAGCGAGCATCCATCTCGAATTAATTAACTTATATTGTATAGTTACGCCGGACGGAGATACGCAGTTTGGCTGCGACTACTAGTTACCCAGAGAGGAGCGGAACTCCTTCCTGTTTGCCCTGCTTTCCCGATCTTGCATTGGCGACGACGGATGCTCGCTCTGCTGCAGCACTCCAAAAGCTCACTGGTGAGCCGTGTCTTGAAGGTGACTAGTTAGTTACTCTGCATCGAAGAGTCTAGCAGGGGTCGCCCGGAAGGGTTTCTTCTTTCAGTGTAGTCGGCTAACCACCAAGCATATAGTTACAATGTCACAGAGTACACAGAGGCAGCAGAGATCGATCCTGTTTGCCCTCTCTGCAGGCAGACTTCCTCTATAGTGCATGCGACCTGCCCTTCGCCTTTCTTTTCTCCCCCTTAAGGAGCCTACTTGTTAGCTCATGTAGCTTTCCGCTAAGTAACTAGGAAGCCGGCTTGTTTGCGCCCCAGAGTCACCAGCCACGGGAGCATCTGGGGGCCTTTTTTGCAAACTAAGTCTTACATTCAAGGAAAACAAACGTTTTAGTTAAAAAAAGGACATCCTGGGTTTTGATCGGAGAGTGAAAAGCAAAGAGTTAAGGCCGCTGGCCGAAGAGTGAGAACCTGCAGGCATCGAAGAACTCTACGACAGCAAGTGAGGAATGGAAAAAAAGAAACACCATAACCAAATGCAAAAAAAAGAAAGGGAGAAACGAAGTGAAATAAGACGAAAAGAAAGAAAAAGAAATTGCAAATCTCTCTCTGCTCTACTCAATATCCTCATGGCTCATCATCAAAGGTATATATAAAGACGGCCCTGGCCAGCTATATTCTCTCCCCTTCCTACCAAAGAACCATCACATACCAACAACCATCTTCACAGCCATCTACCACATCACACCTTCACCTATATTCACCTATTCATCTACCCAGCTGCATCCATCATGCCTCACTTCGAAGAGAACAGCTCTGTTGCCCCCTCGTCCGCCTCTTCTAAGTATGTTTTTATCTACTCCCGTTGTTCTCTTCGGTCGGAGCTGCTGTTCTAACATGTAGCTATTATCTTCACCAGTGGCACTGCATCCAGCAACCCAGGCTCCAGCAGCTCTCTCGATGCCTTTGCCCTGCAGCAGTTCATCCAGCAGCAGGCTCGCAACGACTCTTGGTCGGCATACACCCTGCGTTTTGCCTCTTCCTCGCCCTCCTCTTCGTCGTCTTCGTCCTCCTCCTCTTCTTCTTAAGAGTCGAGTCGAGCTGATAACTATACAACCAACTTTCCGCCTATACATCCACCCGCATACAGTCGCCCATACAGTCGCCCATACAACCGCCCATACAACCACCCACATGCAACCATCCGCATACGAAGCATGAGCATGATGACTCCAAACAACGCCTGGAAGTTATTACCTTCTTCTGTTCTGTTCTGCTCTCTTCTTTCTCATTTCGTTTTTTGCTTTTTATCTTGACAGGTATTATACGGTACGATACAGGTCTATATACTTCTTCGTCATGGAGACAGTATTTCCCCTTCTCATGTTTTGATCTGCTTTCCCTTTTCCTTTTTAATTTCACTTAATTTCATTCTGGTTGCCTTTACTATAGTAGCCTGGAGTTCTTTTACTGAGCATTTTTCTGAGATGGGAAAAGATTTCTGCAGTGTACTACCATTTTATTTCGTTCTCCATACTTCACTTTTGGGCTGGGATAGGCATAAGCATGGAAAAAATAGCTTCTTTCTGTTTCTCCTTTTTCTCCCCGTCTCTACTCATTGTTAGTTGTTTTCGTTGCTTCTATTTTTCTGTTCTTACCATTACCGTCTCTCCAATGTGTATGCTACATCTGCTTCACTGTTTGTGAAAGAAACTCGTGCTTGGTTGTATACGTCTGCCTGTCTACTTCGTATTGGTTACACAGTATCACAGTATCGTAGTTGTATCTGTACTTTGTGTGGCCGCCTATACATTGTATGCTATGTCTCCCTGGAGCCTTCATCGTGCATTCATCCACTCTACCGTCACGCTACCATACCCGTCCCGGCCCCGGACTGCCTGGTTTTGGGACTCCGGTGGTATCGTACGCTCCACTGCCCAGGTTGTCCCTTTTTACTTCACACCCTCAACTCATCCTTCTAGGGAAGCCTGCATGCATACCAACGCCGGCCAACGACTCCACGAACTCTAAGAAATTTTGCAGCGTCACCGTGTGACACTAAAGTACTCCGTATACCTATTCCATTCTCCATATGGAGTACTCCGTACATCAAGATGATGACAACAGCTCCCACACACCCTCCAATTCCAGGTTCCTCGTAAAGTCATAAAAAAGCAATCACTAAGCTTTCCAATCAGCTGTCATGTCAACTTTTTTCCAGCTTTGCTTTTTCTTGCCATGGCGGCTTGCTTTTTCCCTTTTTCTCGTCTCTGACTGGCAGGTATCCGGAGCCTGAATATGGCCCATAGGTCAATTGTTGAACTGAGAAGACTGTCGACTATTCCTCTTCCGTTGTGTCCTAGAAAGAAATGAGCGTTCCTTTCCTCCAGGCTGCTGTTAACTCATTCAAATGTCAAAGCGTGAACATGCTACGCACTTATCGAATACAATCACGGCAGTGCATATAGTTAGCAATCGGTGCCCCGAGCCTTGCCATAGCAGAGTTTTCCTCATTTCCATCCTCCAACCACTCCATTGGTGCCCCAAGCTCATGCATTCCAGTCGCCCTCTCTGACTCTTAGCCTAGCAGCGCTTTTCCTTCGACTCGAGGTGAGTATACGTATACCATAATGACGTCCATCTGGGGGGAGGGGGCGTTTACGCTGGACAATGAGCCGCCTCTAAGTTGGTTGGATGCAACAGGGTCATCCATGTACATATGCGGAATTTTCCCCCCAGATGGTTCGCAGGCCTGATCTATTGATTTATTTTCCATGTTGATCGCAATCCTGCCGGCTTCCAAACATACGTGTTCCTCGAACTGGGATTCTGTCTAATCACTCGGGTAACTAGAGGTGAAAGAAAAAACAACTGTCCAGGATGAGACCTCTGAACATGATGCTGTTATCTTCAGTAGCTAACTTACTTGGGCAATCCCGGGTTTTCTTTTTGCTTGGCTTTCGTTGCGCTTGAGCATCATCTTCCACACTAAGATATCAAATCTCGCGAGCGCCGTCTCACTCTGAAGAAAAAGAAAGAAGGGCGACAAGACGACAAACTCAACTTTCACCTAGATACAATATATTAGAAATAATAAAAAAGGAAAAAGGAAAAAGAAAAACGGATGCCGTGGGGAAAAAAGAAAGGAATAACCCACCAACCGCAAAGCTCTAACTAACTCCACCATGTTCAACCTCCTCAGTGGAACGATACAGCCATAGGATCTCCGCTAGGGATGCGATTTCGACTTATGATGTCGGCTGTATAACTATAGAAACTCGTATAATTATGTAAGTTGCCATTGTCGAGCGAAGATACTGAGCCCTCAGGGCTGCATGATGCTCCGGGCTTCATCTTATCTCGCCAAAGAGTCAAACCACCATCCCATGACGAAGGCAAAGGGACGCGTGTGCACTGGCATCCGCATTCCATCCAGTATTTGCACGGCGGAGTCTATACTGGAGTCGGCTAGTTGGTGAAGTCAGTGACTTCAAATGCTCGCCAACCGCTGTCCAGGGCAAGTGTTGAAAAAGCAAGCAGATGAGTGGGTAAAGGCAATCAGATGGGCAGAAAAAGAAAGAAGACCAGCATCACGTTATGAGGCTGCTTCTTGATCCCTTGATTTGATGTCCCCTGGTGCTCTTCTGCGTTTCTTCTTCAGCTTCTCACCAGCCTATGGGAAATCTGGTCCATAACCCGGCTAACCAAAAATCAGCTCCGTTTGCACCAGCACCCGGGTTTCAGCCGAGGCAGTGTTGCAATGTTGACTCGCAACCAGCCCCAACCGAATGCACGCACGAATCGAATAGGAATGAAACGGCTTGCTTCACTTTGTAACTGAGTGACCCCATGGCAGAGCAAAGAGGGTTGGCGGGATGTATATTCCGTCTTCCGCCTGATGATGGATGGTTGTCATGTTCAGCTGCCTTTGACATCTAGCACCCTACATTGCTCTAGTTAGTTCAGTTAACTAGTTAGGCAGTTAGTTGAATGGGGGGTCAAAGTTGCAAAATGGCGGCCTTCTCTTGGATCTGTTTTCGATCCGAGTCCTCGGGCGGCGCACGGCAGCCAGTGCTCTGTTGATGCACCCTAACTATAACCATCTCCTTGTGATATTCCTGGCTGGCTCCCTCAATACCAGCCAGTCGTAGCTGACCGGGCACCTCCGCACCTCGGACGGTTGTTTCATCGTGTGTTTTCACTTTTTGACTAGTGAGATAACTACTTCCTAGTTTTTGGGGATTTCTCAGCGGATCACAAGTGTCAATTGGAAACCCAGACAGGGCAACAGGCATCAACCACTGGCATCAGCAATGAATTAACTATCAGTCTTGCATCTCCAACCCCCAACCAAGAACAAGGGAAAAAGAAAAGAGAAGCATAGCTTACGGAAAAGCCAAGATGAAGAAGGCTCTTCTTTTTTTAGCCCTCACTCCTGCATAACTTAAACCCACTATGTCGACGCCTTTAGGTTCATCTCTGGGAATCTGATTTCTATCATTAGCTCGTCTTACTAATTCCCCGTATGACGCCCGCTCGTCTCCTATTCGACCGTAATATCCTGCTCAGTCTTTTCTTCTTCCTTAGTCTCGACGTTTAATCCTCACCGACCAAACATCTTCATCCAGAGTCGATGCCTTGGGTTATCGGCTTTCGGGTTCGACTCGCCGGTGTCATCAGCAGCCAGTAAGGGCCTGTCTGCCAGGCCCTTTTTATCCTTTCTCCTTCCCCCACGACTCGGCTTGTTCCTATTCTTGTCTTTCCCTGCTGGTGGTGGTTGTTTGATAACCGTATTTACGGAGCCAACACCGTCATGATGGGCAATGATTCTTTCTTTCTTTTTTTTTTTAATTTTTTGCAAATGCCGTGCATTCCTTGGGTGAAAGGCTAGTTAGTTAGGTTAGCCTCTGCAACTATCCCTGCCCCAACCACCCTCCTCACTTGCTTGTTCCTCTCACCCTTGAGGAGATCGTTCGCGTCTCTCTAGGGCTGCCGCCAATCTATACTTAGCTCGCCTTGCACTGTTTATACGGCGAATCAAGGTGGGGGCCACTGGCTGGTTGGTTGAATATACCGGACCACCGTCGGGCCACCGATCCGTGTTTCACTCAGGAAATTTCGACGGCCTCCAAGGCCCGCTGTGCCCTATTTCTGCTCTTAATATGGTGGCAGGAGTCTCTGGCTAGAGGGAGAGAAAACCAACCTGTCCTTTTCTTTTCCCATACAGCCATCTTTTCTCGGTCTGCCACTAGCCGGTTGACTAGCTGGTTGACGCAGTGTGCAGCTCGCCGGAGCCACCCAGCTGAGACGCCGGCAAAATCTCGCCCTCACGATCTGCGTACGGGTCTCCTTCCTTCTACGTCCCTCATCCATGTTATCTCTGCTGCCAGCCGAATATATCATCTTCATGCATGCGCTTACTGATACTGACAGCGAGTAAAAATAAACAAAAGATAGACATCGGTTTAAACTTCCGCTGTGGAGGACGGAAGATAAACCTTGTTTGGTGGAGCCTCCTTCTTATGCGCTCTTTTCGTTTGTTTGGATTGCCGATCGTGATGTTTTGGTTGCGCGAACTCCACATAACTTTCCGTCCCTGAGACAGGGACATCCCCGTTTGAGTGTGACTATCACTCAGAAGAGGAATAGTTGCTCTCTGCATCTGCGCGAAATGATACCCCCCTGCTAGCGAACTTGAATGCAAAACATGGACACTGACAGACGGCGGCGCTGGCCACTGCCAATCCCGTATTCTGCGTTGTTCGATTGTTCAGGATAGCCGTGGATCGACGGCATCCCCAACATTAAACGAGATGGACGCGTTAATATCGTTGCACAGTCTCCCAAGGGTATGGCTCGACCACATACACTTAGACGGATTTCCCGCCTAAAAAGGAGACTTTTGGCGGGAGATGATTCTCTAGAGGCTTCAGTACGGAGTATGGGCTTCCATGGTGTCTGACGGGATACGGTTGGGCTTAGTTAATCTCACTGAGACCAGCTACGCCACGCACTGGACGTTCAATGTAGTGGGATGGGACAGACGGACAGACGGCGCTACGTCTAAGAAAATTTCAATTCGGTGGCAGCACAGTAAAAATGTAGACTTGCTTTTTCACTTTGACAAACGGAGTCGAACGTAGGGAAGAGGAAGTTCCTCTGAGATACCGGCTTACTTACTGCATATTAGACTCAAGAGCAATCAATAGCCGGAAAAAATATGCAGGGAGGGCCCGTGAATCTCATCTCTCTGCAGTCGACCGATCCTAAGTTAATGGCACTAGTTATTTGTTCGACGTACCTTGCCAAGTTGTACCTCGACGGCTCGAAGCAGCAGGGCGCAGTCAATCAGGCCGGTCCTCGCGGGATAGAGACAGCAACGGCACTGCCCTTTGTGACACTCTGCAGATTCACTTGATACGCCTCTTTTCTTCGACCAGGGCCCTGGTAACATTCTGGAATGACGGGATCGGCTATATGTTAATTAAGAAGGAATGGGGCGTCGATGTGGAAATTTTGAGCGTGTATATCAACCAATAGTTTGTCCAACACTGGAGCTTGTATTGACTGTTTGGGGTTAGAGCCGAACAAGGGTATGGAATGTTCGTTGCCCAGCTGAGGAACGCATATCAAAACTAGTTAGCCCAGCGAAGAACGCTCAGGTGGACAAACTGAGATTTGACCCTTGGCCCCCGAAGATGTATGTACCCTATACGGAGTACACCTTTATTATTTCTTTTGCACTAGCCCGGGTTTGAGACAAACCACTTTAGGGCTCGATCAGCTGGTACAACCTTTAGATTAGTCGGGGATTGTAATTGGAGAGTCGAATGGCTCAGTTGGGCAAGTACATGTCCATATTGAAAAATGATAAGGAGGTATATTTGTATAATTTACATGAAAAGTAAAAAAAAAAAAACGCAATGAAATTAGTCCCTGGGAAGAGAATAGAGATGATATAGCGCCAAGCAGTGGTTAAAACCTTCTCAACCTCAGGGCAGCCTCCATATTTTTTTGCCATCCATCCGTAACACGCCAATGGGTTGTTTTTCGCTTTAAACAGTAAGACATACGTCCATGTCAACGACGAAGAAAGGGGTTGAGAAGATAGAAGTGGATTGCGAGGAATTGGCCATTCAAATATGAACCAACCAGCGTGCTGGGGTTTCTCGTTTGCTAATGTGGCTTGAAGGTATTGATGTGGATAGTAGGTGACTATGCGCCTCCAACGAGAATGTTGTTAACGGGAATGTGTACTGCGAGGTGAAGTAACACGTCAGCATCCTGTCCTTTCTATGATAACTACTAAGCGTCAGGAGGGTTACTAACTCAGCTTGATGAAGTATCCAATGGCTCCCATGATGAGGAAGCCAAAGCCCACGGCCTGGCTGATCTTGAGAAACTCGCGCTTATCGGCTATAATTCGGACGTGTCAGTTGAGAGCGTATCACCTAGTGGTTTCAACCACACGGTGTGGGTTCAACACAGCGACAGAGACATACGCTTTGTGCATCGGTTCACGAAGAGCATTCCATCCTTGACAAAGTCCTTGGGGATATCAGCGAGCTCCTGGAAGGCGTCCGACATGGCGACAGATATTATAAAGTGACGTGTGGCTTGTGAAATGGAGAATGCGTGGGATGTCACTATATCTCTGTCTGGAAATGACTCAACGGCCTCGATATTGATCCTTTCCTAAGCGTCGCCTTCGGTTTGTCTTCCTCGTCCTCGATGTTTACCAACTTTCAACTGTCCGTGTCTGTCTCGATCTCGATCTTCGCGGTAAAGGTTGAGGTGTCTTTTCGGAAACACGTTAACCCGGCCCGTTAACGTGACCTCAGCGCTAAACCGCTTTTGGCGGCGCAACGTCCGCCTTCTTTTTGCGTTCGCGTTCAATTCGAAATCTCAACGACGACATCAAACATCAAACGGCCGACTGGCTTCTCGCAGCTGCGCTATTCATCGTCAGGATACCGACCGGAGTCTCCATTGCGCGCGCCGGAACTTTGTTGAGGTGCTGGTCCTTTTGCGCTCCATCGCCACGCTTTCGCGGCTGTCTTGGAGCTCGAGCTAGAGCGGACAGAGAGAGCCAGATAGGCAGACGGAAGTGAAGCTCTTCTAGCTAACCAAAACCTCTCCCTTCCCATTGCCCCTGACTGTCTAACAACCTGTTTTGCCCGCTATATCTCTCATTAGGGTGTCTTCCGTTGCTCCCTCACTCGTTCCCTCGGTGGAGGATCAAGCGCTAATCCTGTTGGAACCTTTACTTGTGACAAACAAAAAACCGCTGTGGTTAATTTAAAAAAGCAAACACCCTCTGTCCTGTACTTGCCATCGAAGGCAGTCGGGGTTTATATCTGGCTGAACGAAGAAGACCTCGATTCTGCCTGTCATCTTGTCTTGTGTGTGCCCATTTTTTGAAACCAAAAACAGTATAACCGACAGGATTTGTACGTATCTCTTTTTTGATTCTCTATTTTCTTACTCTTACCTCTCATGGCATCTCGATACCCCGGGCTTTTTGGTGTCCTGGAAGACAGATGGACAACGGCAAACTATGACAATCTCTACTACAGCATCAAACTCATCTCTTTTGATGTACATTTCCTTACTAATTGGCTCCCTGAACCACAGACCTGTACTCTTCAAACCCGTCGAATCAAGACAACTACCCCAGAAAAGCTGTGCATAACGAAAATATCAAGAACAGAAATCAAATCATTGCTCCCAGCTTATAAGAGAAAGCAAAAAATCCTTCAAACAAGAAACAGACGTGCCAGGAAATAAACCACAATGGCAACTGAAGATGATAACTTTGATATTGATATCTACGGAGATGGAAGTGGATTGACTGATGAAGGTCAAGACTCGGCCTTTAAAACCGAGGAACCGGACCTAGTCCTCGATGCTCCAGACACGCAGCATGGCGGTGGGAACGGAGACGGGTCCGACGAGAAGTATGGCAACAGTAATAACCATATGGACAATGAGAATCATAAGATATTCAAAACAGAGAAGTCTTCATCTGAGATGCCACACTCAGGAAACAATCTACCACAGCAACCTCCACTACAGCAACAACAGCAGCAGCAGCAATACCTGCCTCAGCAGGGCATCAAACGAAAAGAAGCCGATCCGGACGCCACATCCGCCCTGTATATCTCAGATCTGCATTGGTGGACAACAGACGACGAGGTTCGCGGTTGGATAAACCAGGCTGGTGTCGAGGCTGACCTTAAGGATGTCACATTCAGCGAACACAAAGTGAATGGAAAGAGTAAAGGGTACGCATATAGGCCTATTCATCTCTTAACCTCGGCGTTTTGCGTAATATATACTAATCCTTAACAAACAGTCAAGCATTTGTTGAGTTTACATCGGCACAAGCTGCCACAATAGCCAAACACAAGATCGAAGAGATGAACAATGCCCAGCAAGGCGGACGAAAGTATGCCGTTGCTTATACCCAACCCAATGTCAACCCATTTAAAACCCTTCCAAAGGAGAATCCCATGCGTGGCGGAAAAGACGATCGAACTCCCAGAGCTACTCCACCAGGTTTCAATACCGGCCAGGGCAACTTCGGCATGAATAATGCAGTTGGATTCCGTGGTGGCCGCGGTGGGTTCAATAACCGCGGCGGAATGAACCAAAATATGGGGTACAACAATAACAGGAACTTCACTCCTATGGGTGGCGGCTTCCAGGGCGGAGCGGTCGGGGGCTTTCAAGGTGGTCCTATGGGAGGCATGCAGAATTACGGAGGGTTCAACAACCGTGGAGGCATGATGAACAACATGAGAGGTAATCCCAATATGCGTGGTCGTGGTGGTATGGGTGGCATGGCCAACCCCATGATGCCAGTTGGCGGACCAGTTGGTAATATGGGAGGCGTTGGAGGTATGGGAGGCATGGGAGGCATGGGAGGTATGCCCATGGGAGGTATGCCAAACCAAATGGGGAATATGATGGGCGGAATGCAAGGAGGTAACATGGGGATGCAAGGTGAGTGTCCTTTAATACCTATACATAAGCCGTACTCCTATACCATGTTCGTTCCGTATTCTTTCTAACCAGAGTAATGCAGGGCAAGCTGGCTTCCAAAACCAGAATCCTCATTTCAACCCAGCCTTCTTTGGCGGTGGTGGTAATGACAGCGGTGCCTGGAATCCACATGGAGTTAAGCGAACACGACAGGAGTAATACAACTCTGGAGAACAACAGACTTGTTCAGCCTCTACCATCATTACATTTTAAGGGCGCTTCGTGCTATCGGTCTACCCTCCAGCGCCCTTTCCAGCCTGGATTTGCACTTGAGCCATCTATCCGGTGACTTGTCGCTCTGTACTAAATATCACAAGTCCACCTTTCGTCTACGTCTTGAATGCTGCTTAGCCGTTGCCCGGGCTGTCGCTCGACTACCTAAGCCACAAGAAATACGAAGTCCCACACCTTTCCATCATGCAGGCGAAAGGCTCCTTACCATCTATTTTCGTTATTATTTGTTTAAGGCATGGGATCTCCTTTGTGTTTCGTTATTACCTTGTCTGTTCTTCCTTATTAATGAGCAAATGGTGTCTCTCTGCGGTTTAAATGGCTCGATCTTAGTGAAGTACCTTTATCACATGGAGTTTTATAGGACTTAGTTTTAGGAATTTGATAAGGGGTTTTTCTGTCTTTTATACTCCTTGCTGCATTCATATTTTTGTCGGTCAAGGATTGATTCTTGTATCAGGTCTGTTTATTTTCTCTATGGGTCGAAGATTGTTTATATTTTACAACTCTCGGTGCTGCATTAACCCTGTTGTTCTCCTGCATGTTATGTGGAATATTAAAACTTAGATATTGGGACAAGATAATAGTTTCATTGGCAAGAAATATAAACATGAAGAGATGAGTTGCCTGAAATGTATCTTCACGCGCTTCAAAGTATTACCGGAAAATGGCCCTATATGTCAGCCTGGGTGTTGGAGATGACGTCAAGTCCTGCCCGAGACATAGGGGGAAAACACCCCCTTCATTAACGAGATACCCAATATGACCTTGGCTAGTAGCATTGGGTACTTCTACCTGCCATCAATAGTCATCAAAGTCAGAGCCTAGAACAACCGAATCCTGGCCTGTTGGCAGCTGAAGTTCGGATTCCAAATGCCAACCCATTGAAGGAAGCCCTTCATCGTCCTCTGCATCGTCCGTCCACGAGTGAACTGTGCATGTTCCTTCCGACATACCCAAGCCATTCCACGAGGTAGCTATAATGTAACATATAAGTTAGAAATGAGTATTCCTCATTAATAAAATACCAGGCTTATAGAGCTCTATGCATCGTCTCTTAGGTTCAGGTGGCGAACATACCTGCTATTACCGGGGCGTTGGGATGCCAACTGACATCTCTCACACAAGTTTTAATCTCCTTGGGATCTACGTCATAGGAGCGAGGAGTGCCTCTAGGCGACCACGAGTGCCGGGTGGTTCCTCCGACATCGATCACCTTGGCTAAAGTGGCATCTAGATTATAAATGTATACCTTCCCATCATGGCTTCCCGTGTATACGTATCTGGAGTCTGTGCTTCCCGAAGGTGAAAAGTGGCAACGAATCAGAGTCCGAAGTACGCCGTGACCATGAAATGTAACAACGGAGCAGTCATGGGGATGGGGGGTATAATCGGATTCAAGGAACGGACTGAATCGATAGTCAAAACCCGTTGAATATCTGATATGGCTCATTCCATCAAATTTAGTTGTTGTCATCATCTTTCTCAAGTCCCATAGCTTCATGGTCTGGTCTTTACTGTTCGATAGCACATATCGGCCATCTCCTTTGCTGTCAACAAAGGTTATACCTTCTGTGTGGCCAACGAAGACACCAGCTTCTCGGCCATCTGCCATTGATCGACGGTCCCACACGCGTATGGTGGAATCGTCGGAGCCCGAGTACAGGATATGAGGTGACATTTTGTCTCCGTAACAAACAGCGTTGACGTCGTCTGAATGTTTGCGGAGCTGAAGGGTTGTTTGTTGCGTCTCTAGATCGTAAACAAGGACCGAGTGACCAGAAGTTCCAGCTACTATCTCTCGGCCATCGCCAGAGAAGCGGACCGACCATATCTAGTCATCAGGTCAGTTGGAAATCTCATCGGTTATGATTAACAAGGGGAGATAAGTGAATAACGCACCCCAAAACGGGTGCCAAAAACGGAGTTAAGCGCAGCACCCCGCGGCCCATGTTCAAAACTCAAAAGGATAGGATCTGTTGACGATGAAGGGTCCGTCCCTGCTAGGCAAACGATGTTTCTTATCGAACTATATGCCAGAAATTTGTTGTCCGGGCTCAGTGTCGCATCTGTTATCGTCCACTGTCCGAAGGGGTATTCCACTGTCTTGTAATGTTGCCAGATGTATGGGTTGGAGGTATCATACATCCGGACATTGAAGTCTTGAGAAGTCACGAAGAAAAAGTTCCCATCATCAGAGAACTGGCCCGAGTAACAAGGATTCTCGTAATGAATGATGGTATCAGCAGAGGTACCAGGAATTAGGCCCTAGCAATTGGTTCAATGTTAGCGGGCACAAATAAATAATATAATAAGCATGGAGAACATCGAGCCAAGGAGATAGAGGCTAATCATGTAAATGAATAGTCTCTCACCTGGGATAGTTCACGAGAGGATCTAATTTCGGTCCCTCGTGGCCCTGCCCCCAGCTCTCTATACATCAGACTTGTTGCCAGCTTCTGCTTTCGACCCTTCAACCTGTCGACGTAGTACGGATTACTACCATAGTCCCCGGAAATCATGAGTTCTCTCCCTGCCTGGCTTGGAGGTTTCGGGTATTTACTGGGTCCTGTTCTTCTGATGCGACGGGTGGCTTGTACACCAAAAATGTCATAGCCTTGGCCATTTTCCCTTGATCGCGAGCGCAGAACTCCATGACCTTGTAGAATACGATGAAGCTCGGTGGCTCCAAGCAGGCGGAACAGTTGCGCAGTGGTTACTAACACCAATCCTATCAGCAAGCCAAAAGGGAAAGAGATTTGAAGATTCCACGCGAGGGAGATATTGCTGCCCATACTTCTTACGCGGTCTGGACTATCAGGCTGGCCTTCCCCCGTTGCCGCTGTCGTGCCATCTTGCGCCTGATGGACGGAAAATTGAAGTTCTACATTGTGGTCATCATCACTATCATCGATATCGTGATTGTCATCGTCCTCTTCCTCTTCCTCTTCCTCTTCACCGTCGTAATCATCGTCGTCATCATCTTCACCATCGTGATCCATATCATCCAGATCTCCAGTCAATGAACCCCAATGATCAGTGTTGCTAGAGCCTGCATCAACCGGGCTCTCTCTATTCCCAATTGCATCAACGCTGCCCCATTCGTGGGCTAGATGGTATATGGAGCCTGGCTCCGCAGGGAACGCCGCTTCCTGGCGGCTTGGGGGACGACCAGACATGATAAAGCCAAGCGACGTGTAAGATGTACCATATATCACTGACAAGTGTGCGATAACAGCACAGTCGACGAGCAAAACCGCCCTGGAGTCGCTGGATAATATGCCCTCCGTTCCGGTGTCCGAACGGCTGTAATGGATGAATTGTCGGGTACGGAGTAGGTACCCTGTCGTTTACGTTAACTCTACTCCGTAGTTGCTCCGCAAAACTAGCCAGCCAGTAGCGTCATCTAGACGTGGCGTTAGACTTGATATCTCCTATGTCCGACAATGGCCAAAGACGCCTCCTTGGGTCCCAGGAATCGCAACGAACGAGCTCCGGCAGCGAAATACCAGGAGCTTCTGCTCTGATTATTGCAGCTTCAACCAACTTCGCGATGTTTTTCTTGTTTTCTTTCGCTTTTTGACGTTTGTTTTAAGCTCGGCCCGGGTCACGTGGAAATAATGCCAAGAGATTAAATTACTAACTAGATTCAACGCTAGTTTATTTTTGGAACGTCGAGGAATAATATTTTGCCGAGGGAGGTCCCACTTCCGCTTTTGGGGTTTTGGTGAAGCTGGTCAAGACGTCGGCGTGAGACACCACAGGAAGCGAGAAACAGACAGCAGACAGCAGCAGCATCAGACGAAGAAGAAGAACCACTAACGCACAGCAGGGACGTCCGTCTCCGCCAACCATAAGCCGTCATAGCTTCTACGTGCCCTTGTGACCTTGGTGGCCCTCCATCACTGCCCCCGCCTTAGCTCGCTGGTTGTTTGTTGTACAAGCCGCGCCAGTTGATATCAAATTCTTCAACACATATCCACGGCTGATAGGCGATAGCAAGATGCAGGCCATACCAGATGCTCGTCATCAGACGTTTGAGGAGATCTACGGACCTCCCGAGAACTTCTTGGAAATCGAAGTATGAGCTTGTCCTGCTTGCCTTTCTCTCATGGCCCTGAACTTTTTCCGTGTTTGACTGACTTGCTGGCTTTTGCGCATTTACAGGTGAGAAACCCTCAGACTCATGGTACATCTCGCAATATGTATACCTCGTATGAAATCGTCTGTCGGACCAATATACCTGCCTTTAAGTTGAAACACTCCGTTGTTCGTCGCCGATACTCGGATTTCGAATACTTCAGAGATATACTGGAAAGGGAGAGCGCACGAGTCACAATACCTCCGCTTCCAGGAAAAGTGTTCACAAACCGCTTTAGCGATGATGTGATCGAACACCGTAGAGAAGGTCTACAGCGGTTTTTGCAAATCGTAGTTGGCCACCCACTACTTCAGACCGGAAGTAAGGTGCTAGCGAGCTTTGTGCAAGGTAAACACCTGCCCATATATGTATACTATACGCCATGGACTAATATTTTACTCCCATAGATCCCAACTGGGACCGCAATGCATGGTGATACGATCTACATGTGTTTAATCCACGAAACCCATCCCCTTTCCATTCCAATGAACGTGAACTCTAGCCTATGTCTCGGCCATATGTTCTAGCTTAATGACGCGGATGGTGCTGATTTACTAGCTGTGTTTTTCCTTGCTTGCTAATTTCAGTACTATCTCTCTACCTTTCTCTCTCTCTCTCTCTCTCTCTCTCTCTCCCTTTTTTTATTTCTAGGACCTACAAGGCGTTACTGGCGCTAGCCAAACTTATATCCATGTCCCATTTATTTCAGGCTCAGGAGCACTGAACAAACCACAGCTAGCGAAGTGACCCTAATACTCTTTTCTCCTTACGAGCTACTAGTTCATACATATGCCCTTAAAACACTAGCAAACCAGGTCAATACCTGATTTTCTTCTCTTTCTTATAAGCTTTTGCGTACTTGCTACAACATACAGTGAGCGACTTAGCTAACTTTTACACAATATAACTCGTAGAGAAATCGGTTGATTTTTACTTAAAATTATCTCATTCCCCGAAAAGCTATAGGTAGCAATTAGTTATATATATATGTAGGTGTAAAATCTGCCAATACCGAGAAATGTATGAAAAAGATTTCGGTCGTAATATTCGTGATGTTGGTATCATTATGGAACCGTCCGAGGTCGAGTCTCACAAACGGATTATGGTTGTCATCACCCTAATTCTTCCCATACTAACGGAGGTAGAGTAACATCATCGGATCGCTCAAATGTAGATTCGCCAGTATTGACACTCGTACTGTCATCCACCGCCGTGAAGGCGAAAGCAGAGCTCAATGGTGGAGCTGGAGGTAGCATTGCCGGGTCGATAGGCATTGCACTAGCAGCCATAGTAGATAGGAAATGATCATTCGCGGGTGTGGATGATGGATTCATCTTTACATTTTGATCATATGTCGCGATAGTAATACCTGCGCCACTATTACTTGGTCGCCTAAGTTGTCCTTTGCCATGCTGGAGGCCATCAACGGGCGAGGTCAAATTAGACAGCTGTAAGCGTTCTTGTGTTATTGCACTGATCGGGACAGCTGAAGTAGACCCACGTTTTACGTCGTCAGCTGGATCAGACGCAGTGCTTAGCATGGCTGTATTGCTGCTGGAGGCTGGTATGTTTTTCGCAGTTGCCGACCCTCCTTCCCTGTAGGCGTTGGGAAATTTCGTTCTGAACCTGTCTCTAAGGTCTGTAGCTTTTCGATGCATTAAATTAAGATGTTTGTCTTGTCGTATTAATGTCCACTGGAAGCCATGAACCGCGTAGCCTTTCAGTAATGCCTCGTCTTCTGCTTGCGTAAAGGGGCGTCTGGACCGCCTATTTGCTTTGACAATAGCGTCGGGATCAGGCAGTCCGAGAGCAATCAAAGTAGATTTTGTCTTCCTTGAAAGAGCATCACTGCCCCTTGCGGGAGGATACGTTTTGCGGTGAGATACCTGTGTCGCTGGGTATTTTTCTGGTGTAATAGGGGTTTCTGTACCCGAAAAAAATGTAGACGTCGGAAGGAAACCGGGTGCAGTGGAAGGCGTATTTCCTGTAAGTTTTTGAAGTGCAGATGTAGAGCCAGTGAGAGGGATTGGTTCAACAACTCCCATAGTTTTTCTAGGATCGGGTAAGAATATCTTTCCGGACCGTTCATTGTTCGCATTATCTGCGAGCGCTGGGGGCTCCCCATTAGGTTCATAAGCCCATGAGCAACAAACCCGAAACCTATCCTTTAGATTTGCCGACGTTCGGTCGTTGAAATGTAGGTCAGTTTGTGCGAGTATGACAGCCCAATTACCGACACCACATCTCACAACTCCGCGTAATAAATCGTAAGTCTCCTCATCTGTCCATTTCCGTGCTCTCTTCCTCCGTTGTGGTTTTGGTGCAACTCCACCATTGAATTTTAGGTCATCCTCATTGTCAGGCAACTCAACGGATTGTCCAGCGCCAGGCATTAACGCAGGAGTTTCTTGGGAAGATGCGTTGCCCAGTATTCGATCCTTATCCGCACCAGTCTTTTCATTAGCTTCCACAAGTTGCCTATGTTTCCTTTCCCCATTATCTTGGATAGAGGAGCCGTTGATTAGGGTCGGCACTTCTTGGATGTCGCATGTCGGGATATTCGGAGGCCCGTTGGGTTCAATTGGTGGGAAGAGGGCAGCATTTGGTGGTGGCTCGTTTAACCCATTCAATATGGTTAGTGGTCCAAATGGGGGACGCTGTTTTTGTATCTGCTTCTGGTTTTTTGGTATTGGAAGCTGCAGATGGTCTCCGAATGTATCAGCATACTGATCGGCCTGGCGACGTTTACGAGGTAACACCTCTTGTTTGAAGGAGGAATACGGTAGTTTTTCGACGGCTCGTAGGTTTATGAAGGCCGGGAGTACTGTTTTGGGTGGATTTTCTGTGGTAGATCTTGGGACTGGGGTTGTGTGCTTGTCCGCATGGGCCGTGTTGTTAAGAAACCCCGCTACGGTTGGGGGCTCTGATAGATGGTTGGGCGTGGGAAGTGTTGACTTGGAGTTATATTTGGGCTCCCTGATTGTCCCAGCCTTGGGCTCAAGTGGAGACGGGGGTTTCCGCGATTGTGGTGGCAGAGGGCCTCGAAGCGGAGGGATGTTTAGATGCGGGAGCTGGTGCATACCCCGATTCTGGGATGATGTTGCCTCGTCCGAGTTCGTGGAGAACGAAGGGAGAGAGCCTACAAAGGCATCCATACTGAAGTCCTGATTCTATATGAGCCTCACATCTTTTGAAGCGTCGCCGGCCAGCGTCGAGTCGCCTGTTGCGTGTTCTCCTGGTGATATCATGAAAAGGTTTCCGCTTTGGGCACCCTTTTTGGGCCTGGCAACCTTAGGTAAGCTTGACTTTCGGATGTCAGTTTATCCGAAGCGCAGTTAACGTCTTTCTTTTTTAGGACTAGCGTCCGCAATTCCGGAACTTTATATTGACTTCCAGTGTGATTGCTTATCTAATCAATCTACATCCTTCGTTTTTCCCAACATCAAAAAAGGAGCAACGTTTGACAGCGTTGTTTTGACACTCACAAGCTCTCCAACGCCACCGTAAATGTGAGGCCCTTTCTTTTGATTTCCCCCCCTTTGCTGCGGTACACCCAAGCCCTGATATAAGCGCCGGTCTACGTGGCTGAGGCGTGGTAAATCATCAAGAAAGTTCCGTCAGATCCCCTTCTCGGAAGGTAAGCGCACCAATGGCATATCGAGAAGGATTTCACCGCTACCTTAACAACATCATGAATGGACAGCCAAGTACTAACCAGGCCCATACCGCCCTTATCAGGTGCTTTTGTTCCCTAATTTTCACCAAATTAGAGAGCGACAAGCCACAGCAGGTGAAAAAATCTTCACGCAGGGTTCAATATCATGCCCGGCTGTGTCGGACAAACTACGAATATTTTGTAGTAAAGAACTTTATCGACAATAGCCGGTGAACAAATATATTAATGCATTATGGAAACATGGGTACGAAGTACTCCTTGCAGTTTGCCACGTCCGTTGAACGCTGGCCTTGTTCTATTTGCTTTTCGGGAAGTCCGCCAACTTAGCCTCGAGGAAGGGTCGTAAAGCCGTCCTTGCCAGCGGTTGAGGGCGAAATTGACATCACAAAAAGAACTCCAGTTCTGCGCCACGCGACTTTTATGGAAAAGGCCGGTATGCCCGTAGAGTACATAGTTTCTATGCTCAGCTGGCATCGCTGTTTCAGGGGATATATTGCCTTCCTCTCAACGGAGGACCAAGCGGCACACGCGGTTGGCCCTCCTCTATTCTGCATCACCATCAACACATGTAAGGTAACCACTCATATATCAGCCGTATGCAAGTTAGTGGTTACACAAACTTGAACTGGGTATTTTAATTATTATGTTCAGCGAACCTAGGCACGCGTATTGGGGCTTCATTCGCTAGGTTCCTCTTGATCTCGGAAAATCTTGCATACTTATTGTAGTATGACAAGTCGACAGCCCTTCCCCCAACAGCTATGTCTATGTGGTCCTTTAGTTGAGCATCACAAAGGTATTGTCCACCACTGAACGTGGATCGAAGAGAAGGTGATGACTGCGATGGGTATTTTTTTCCAAGGTTTATCTCGGTAGCTGGTTTTTATTGTTAGCTTTTTATTCATTTTCGTTCTTCTTGTAGGGGAGACGGACGTTAGGTCGTTATCGATGGATCATATGTGAAGATCTTTCACCTTATATTCTAAATACGGGATTTTATGCGTACAGGGACAAAGGTAAGCAAAAAGGTAAAGCTGTCTTCTTGTGATTAGAGTAATTGGGGGCTGTATGAGGCTTATAGGTAGGTAGATTCGACTTACATAAAAAGTAGTACATTCGGATTTATAGGCATCCAGGTACACATGTCGTCTCCACACCGCTATGACTCCGCGGCAGGAACTGTGCATATTTTGCCTCTTGAATACCTTCACGATTTAAGGCATTCATAGCACGCGGCTGAGTTGGAAGTTAAACTCCAAAAGGTAAAGGCTGGATCCCAAATGTGGCGAAAATGTTCCTCCTGATTTAAATTCATTCTACCGGGTGCAGTAACACTGACGTTGGATAGGTTACTGACCGGCCTGTATGAAGCTGAAAACAAAGCATGGTGTTGGGTAACGGATAACATTTACTCGTTTATGGTTCCTGGGCTCCGCACTTCAGCTGTCTCCTACTCACGACATGGGCATTGCCGATCGAGCTTACTCCATTATATTTTCTTGGTCCCGATTTATAAGTAGAGATTGGTTGATATCCAGGTTAAAGTTCCAAATCAGTCTGTGTGGAGCTGGGGTGTAGGCTCGAAATCGAAAAGGAGGGTGTATATTAATGCAATCCAGTTCACTAGCCTGTGAAAGCGGCCCTTCCGATCCACTGGAGAACGGGCTGGAAGCTTCTCCAGCTGTGGCTGGCAAGTGCGCAATCTTCGACCTCGAGAATGAGACCTTATCTGCAGGATCTCATTCGTTCAATAAGAGAGAACAAAGCGTTCCAGCTTTTATATCATTCCATAGCGTGGGCCAAATTACCATGGTCCGCATGAGGGAGGTAGCCAAGATTCATTCAATTGGCGCTGCATCCTGGCATAAACAGATGTAACACGGTCCCTTACCTCCTTCCTCCATACAGGTGAACGACAGACATAGCCGACTTTAGGACCGGCTCACTTTCGCTTATCAAAATGAATGTGGAGTTGATCACTTGGAGTATCGGGTCCAGGCACCCCCTGAGCCTGCAAGGGTATAGTCATACTGGGTTTGGAGGCTTGTAAGTACAATTGAAACAGCCACATGTAAAAGGAAACGTCTTGGTTGGAAATGCAATAACAAGAGATTAAAGGTTTCCTAAAACTGGCGGACGATCGGCCCTGATTTTCAATGAATGCAAAGAGGGAACATCGCAACAATGGCATTCTCCCCATGTGATTGGTATTCCACAATATGCGGGAGCAAGAATGGGATTCCAGGCCGTACTTTCATAGTTTCCCTGTAAAAAGCGTAGTTGCTAGCTGAGTCCATTAGCTTAAAGCAATGGCTGGAGATGTTAATGGCATATTGTTGAGGGCTATCGTCCTGTTCCAGAAATAGGTCAAAGTCGTTTATATTGGCTTTCTGAAGGCCGTATAGTATAGCTGTAGCCGAGTAATAATTCCTTAACCGATGAAGGACCTGTATTGTATATTATGTTAGAGTCAATGCAAGTGAAGAACTCAGAAAGAAACTTAATGATACAAAGAAAGAATACATACGCAGATGCAACTTTTAAAGAATGTTGCCATTTCAGGAAGTGCCAGGCAGCATTCTTCAGTAGATGAACAGAGCAAGTGCCATCTACCAGATAGTAACCGTAGTGTAGCAGTGTCTTCCACAAAGCTTTGCACTGAGAGCGAGGAAAATTCTCTCGTATCGATATGCGTAAGCTTTCTCGCTAGAGGTTCAACCTCGCGAAAGGCAAAAAAATCATTCAAGTATGCTGGATTTGCTTCAAACGGGGCACTCCAATCTATTTCCACCGAAGTACGGTATTTGCGTTCAAAGCTAAGAGCGAGAACAGAAAGTTTTTTTAGCATCGAGGGCAAACCGGTCAGATGAGCTTTGAACAGTTCCTGGATAGGGCGGATGATAAAGCCCACAACCCATTGGTTTGATTGATCGGGTACTTCGCTATCCAATAGACCTCTAACACTGAGGCATTGTAACAGGACATATTGTGCAAAGGGGGAACCGCCTCGGAGGTGCTATTGTGGTTGAGTTAAAATTACTCCGTACGTGGCAAGGCGTTATATTGGACAGAACTCACCCTTTCAACTTCAACATAGGTATCAAACTCTCCAGGGAATAGGTCCAAATGAGCAGAGACTATGTCATGCAGTTGTTTGTGTTGGGAAAAGAACCATTGAATCGACTCGGTAGGATATCCTAGGGCATACCGGATCCAGTCCTCGAAAGGCACTGCTTGGAATTGCCGTGAACTTTCAACATCAATATAAGATGCAATAGTCTGTGGTTCTGCGTTATATGAATAGTTTGGATGCCATCTCCAAGGTTCCACAGGAACGCTCCTGAGCTGACAAAGTCCCAGAATTTCTTCCACCTTGTCGTGGTGAGATAGCTCCAAAGAAAATAGCCCTTGTTCGGTTAGAAGTAAGGACGCAAGGAAGCCTGAGACAACATCTGCATTGCGGTTCTGTAGTACGTGGCGAGGAAGCTCGTCATTTTCATACAGACGAAATCGGAGGAGTCTTTTTATATCCTGGTGGTCAAATGCCCAAAGTATCATGGAAGCGCCATCCTCCCACCATCTGTAAGGTACGTAAAACTGAGGTAGGGCTAATTGAAAGCTGAAGGTCGGCTCCGGTCTCGTTGACGGCAGTGGCTCTGAGGAAGACCGGTCTGTACGTCCTTGATGAAGACGTATGGCCGGATGAGACAACGCCCGTTGCGATCCTATAGCTCTTCCGTGCCAGGAATGGGGCTGATTCCCATGACGCAGTGGTGAGCCTTGCCTGATAAAAAGTGAGCTGTCCATGTGCCTGGGGTACGCCATATCATATAACGAGTGTATACGGCAGTACATAAATAAAATCGGTCAACAGCATCAGGTAGACTAGGGTAAATTCCATTCAACAGAGAAATACTATGCTGGATCAAGACGAAGGTATGTAAAGACACTCTACGGAGTAGAGATGTCAAAATAGGGGATGAAGGGGTATTTTTGTCTTGTAAGAAAATTGTGGAAGCGAGCAGGAAAAATCAACGCAAAAATGAGAATAGTTTAACGGGGAGAAACGTCTAACGGAGACTGAGGGTAGCTAATTGGAGAAGCTTAATCGCTGTCAGAAAGAGGTTTGTCATTGCTTTAAAGGAGTCCCGGAACGGTGCATTGGCCACGGGGTTTAAGGTTGGATAACCCAATAGACCAACCACACCAGGCGTGTACTGGATGATGGCTCGAGGTAATCCATCTAGACCCCGATGCTTGAAATAGTGGGCACCAAGTTACTGAGCTGCAAAGGTGGCGCCTCTTGGCGGCGCTCTAGTGGATAAGTAACATCGTGCGTTGCGGACGACGATCCAGTGTCTTGGATTCCGCCCCAGAACATCCGCACAAGAGCAGCGGACTAAGCGTTCAGTGAAAACGTATGGTTAAGCTCCAGAAGCTCAGGTCGCAAAGGTGGATCAATACTCCGTACCGTCCGGACACAGCCGAGAAGATCGGCTAGAAAGGCCTTTGCTGTATTTCCAAGAAGGCAGCAAAATGTGGCGGAGCGAAACGTCTGAACCAGCAACGATGGATTCTTCATTCGAATGGGGACGGTTAACCAGACATTATCACCAGTAACTAATATCAGGGCCCTCGTGATCTTATGTATTCGACTAATGAAGACACAGTAACAGGTGGAATTTTGTAAACTTAACTAGTGAATAAAGCCGAGGGGGGGAATATCCTTCCTGCTGAGTTGATAGGGAGTTGATTGGTTGCGAACAGTCGGGTTATCCTATCCTATTGAACGCATGATGCGTCGTCCAAAGAAGATCTCGAAAGGAGCCGGTGTCATAGTTCTTAGGAGCTTTCACGCCCCCAAGGCTTTGTTAGATACTCGGTATATCGTGTTGTCAACTGTCTCCTCATTGGTGTTGGTGTGGCAGAACGGCTGTTTAGTAAGCATGCATCCAGTATTTCAGAGAGCCGTGTGCTCTATTGGCCGTTATCGAACTTTCAGGGTCAAAGGGGTACCTCAGTTGACTGGGAAGATGCATGTAAATGGGTCGATAAGTACGGAGTAGTCGCTTCACCTTTAGCCGCCACTGCCAAAAAAAACTCCGCTTCATTTTCGAGGTGGGCTCGATAGTTACTTGTGTCGTAATTAGCGGCCCAGGATCTCACACTATGGAGACACAGTATCTGGGGTTCGCAAAGGGGTTCGCCTACGGAGTACGGAGTACTCCCAGAAGTTGTCGTAGGCTGGGGAGGATAGTGAGGGAAACGCGCTTTGCATACCATATACTCCATAAATATTAATCCCCAATATGAAGTTTTCCCTCGCAAGGAGCGGTTGGATAATGGCAATTTATCGCCAGTATGAGGTACATTGCGTACTTCGATCCTAGATATGCCAACAGAGAATCTCCTACAGACCCAGAACACGGAAAGAAAAGTACATGGCCAAAGCCACGCCGAAGGCGAGAACGAGGAAAAGAGAGTCCGCGTGGGAAGTTCTTCGTATCATTCGATCAGGAGCGAGGCCTGTCCCCACTGTTTGTCGCTGATGAGAAAGATTTTGGATTTGGCTTCCTTCTGGGGTCTAGCTCCACCATCTCATGTGCGCCTTGGCTATCAGTGCATCCTCAAACTAGGCATGCAAAGGAGGAGGAACGACTCAACTGTTTCGGTGGCTGAAGATTGCTCCCCAGCTTTGATACTCCCCTGCGTTGGTGACAGTTTCTTCTTTCGTCTCTTCTTTCTTTTTTCTTATCGATAAAACCCCAATGGATTTGAGGTAATCACATAATCCCATGTCTTTTAAGGGGAAGCAGTGTGTGCTACGGGTGAACTGCACAGTGGAAAGTGTTACGGCAGTATATAGCCTGGCATTCAGGACACAAAATACTGCGGGCGAAGAGACCGTCAGATGCCCGTCTCGGAGTTGGTAATTGAGCTGGCGCTCCGTATCCCTTAGTAGAGGAACCCTGCCAGCAGGGACCTTTATTCCCTACTGATGTAAGCCTGATTTTTGACTGCAGACTAATTTTTCCGATCAAGCGGGATGTTTTAAGGTTGCGGGGACGAATGAAGTATATGAGTTGGCATTCAAGCGGACGAGTACTATGCCTAGATGGGCTCGGCATAGGAGAACAAACCCCATGTGGCAAAAGTGGATGCAAATGATGCATGTAAATATCACATATGTCGATTATATGAACATTTCACCAGAACCTGTCTTTTTATGATTCCCATATGCATAATACTTCAAAAAGCAACATCGCATATCATCTTCTGTTGCTTTGGAGGTATGGGGCTTTTAGAACTCCCCCAATACGGAGTATGCTTGTGAAGTTCAGAGCGACCATTGGAGAAAAATGGCACCTTCTTAGCCGTAACGGCATCCCTTTTCTCGAAATCGCGCTCTGAAAACCAGATCATAGTAGATAAACCCCTGCCTAGAATGCCGTTCGAGAATACTATTATGTCAATAAGACATGAGTACTCTTTGGTTTGACAAACCCGGGACTCAAGCGTTTAAACCATCAAAAGATGACATTATCATAAACTCGGTCCCTGTTATTGTCCATAGCTGCTAGGGCGTTAATGGGTTGATATGGGCCATTGAAATGGTGGCAGAGGGCGTGATTTCAACTGTATGCCGTTATGACCCGTCAAACCGGTTTGTTGGTGAGTACTCGAGGGCTGGCGAAGACACAGCTGATTGGCATCCAGCAGGGCAAAGACCTGAACCCCCACATAGCCGTAACGGAGACCCTAGTTCTCGGGTGGCAGCTGTATCCTAGTTCTCTGCTCTCATAGGTTCATTTGTAACCGATGTATCGCGAGACACGATCCGCCTTGTTTGAGTCGAAGGGGGTTAGGACTTCTCACAGTGTCATGGTATCTAAATCGCAAGGACACTCCCGCTCCTCAGTCTTCATGTATGTATTCTTTGATCCCAGAGCGCCGATTACGAATTGTTTTTTGTTCCATGATGTTTGCTCCAAGTTCGCGACGTCGAAACAGAGTGAAACGGATGAAGGTTTCCCCGATCCGCCCCAGGTCCCAGCCGTAATTGGAAGGAAGCGGAAGCGGGCTGAGCTGAGCCGAGGCCCACCGGAGGGAGCTAAGGCAAGTCGAAGCGCCGCCCATGACTTATTTCTTCTAAAGGGGCCACGTCCCTTTACGAAGTACCAAACAATCGAGTGATCAGTTACATATATTTTTTTCTCTTTCTTTTCTTTTTTTCTTTCTAGTGTTTGTGATCAAGAGCCGAGTCAAGACGGAGATGTCGCCAGCGTTACTATGAGTATTACTCGTGGTACGGAGTATGCACGCATACTTGAGGCCTGTTAGAGCAGAGATAGCTCAATAGCTGCTTCTGCAGTTTAATAATGACGTAATAAACACATGTGGCATTTCTACGAGATCAAGAATGGTACATTAAGTTTCGAAGAACGGTAGAAACAATGCCTGCCCCTAAGAAGCAGGGGCAGCAGCTTTGTTACCAGTCTGGGGAGGTGGCAAGAAGAGCGGCATATATGTCTTGTGGGAGCAACCAGTCAGCACATATCTCGACTGATATCACTAATTATAAGTTGGGTGTGGTGGGTGGGTAACATACCACAATAACAGCCATTGCTAAATAGGGGGTTAGTATGGCCAACAAAACGTTTTTAGGGGGGGGGGGGGGGGGGGTGATGTACCTGACATGAAAACCGACATATATGCTGGAGTGGTAGATGCCTTTCTCTGATCTTCACTCTCCGCTAGCCACGTCTGGAGAGTAAAGACAAGGGAGGACCTAAGCGATGTTAGCCAACATTCCGAAGTATTGGGTGACTGCAGCATTATCTCATGACTGTGAAAGTAAGGGGTAGGCAAATGATTTGATATGTGTATATGCAAGGACCTATTCAACGTACCATCCGATCATCCTACAAGCACGGAAACGAGAGCATCCAAGTCAGTTTGTTGCTTCAATAAGGGTGGACTCCCCATTCACACAATGTTTCGTGCAGAAAATGGCAGACTGGGTTAAACATGCCTGTTCCGAGTAAACATCTAGTTATCTCAATGGTTAGCATGGCTGCATCGCCCGAATTGCCTGGGTACGGCTGTGATGGAACTTACGGCGGCCATTGGCATGGTGCTTGCGATGGTACCTGCAATAGAGAATTAACCAAAGATGAAACGCGTTAAGTGTTCTGAAAGCATGGAATACAAGGTATCAGAAACTAGAATGTTCAAGAAAACTTACCGGACATATCACCGTCAGTCTTCTTGACTGGCGGAGCCTCATAGGGTACCACTTGGGGCAAAAGGACGTGTTAATCATTGAATGGCAGCCCGTCAACCAAACAAGCTGTTAGGAACGAACTGATGACATACCCAAATCTGCTCTCCGCATATCCTTCTGAGCCATAGTGTATATTTATATGACTCCCAGCTCGTTAGAAGAATGTTGTTGTTGTCGTTGTTGTCTTTGAGATGAAGTTTGGCTGAAGGCAAAAAAGCAGCCTTCAGAAGGGCTTGGCTTGGCGTTTAGGGGCTATGCCTCTTTGGGCGTATTTACTTAGGGATCTAGCAAACATCAATCAATTATTAACATTAATACCTATATTGAAGGCTACATACGTACTAAACTACAGAATCATTTACGTCTATATACAATAATAATAAGACACGGATATCCAGCTTATGCTAGTTTCTACCGTCTGGCCCCGTCAGTAGCAGGGGCAGGCTTATGCTAGACTATGCATGTTTTGCGGGCTCCCGATCACCAATTCAGGGGTTCATGTTCGTCAGGTTCATCGTCATCGTTAGTCGCTTCATTAAGTGCATTGATTATAGGTTGTAGAAGCGCTCTGGTATGTCTTAGATCTGAAGTCTGCCTCGTCCGAGCGTAGAAAACGGGGCAGTCCTTACTATCGCACTTAATTTCCTCGCCCCATCCGACGCCCATACAAGAACGACATACATCTTGTAGGTTGGCTACCCTTCTTTCAGATTCATGCATCCGGTATTCAAGCTTAAGAAGTGATAGATGAGGTTGTTGGCGGAGGCATACATTGCATATTGGTTGTTGGTTTTGTTGTCGCTGTTCTTCGGTGTTCAACTTGCTTCGACAGATCGCACAGGACGATGATTTCATGTAACACTCCAGCGTTTTCTTAAACATAGTAGCATTACCATCTTGGCCAGGCCGCCCGGCTGGGGCGTTCATAGCTCCCTCTGTGCGACGCATGCGTTGGTACTTTGGCATCTCATCATACCATTGCCGAACGTTGGCACCAACTAGGTTAAAGATTCTCTCCAAGGGAGGAATCAGATTTTTGGATATATAATATTCCGCATCAAGTTCCAGCTGAGAGTCCTGGAGTAATACATCAGGCGGAAAACAGCGATCAATAAGTCGCGCGCCTGGGGCCCCCGAAACGACCACATACGGTACTCGCTCCCCATACTGGGGTTCCAGCCTGGGATCTTCAAGCATTCGTTTCGCACTGATGAGAGCACCAGGGGGAGGAGCACCCTTGTCACTGTAAGTCCCTAATCTGACCTCCTTTGCAAAGCAGAAATCCTGTATTGAGACCTTTCCTCGCATAATTTTGGAGCATTGCTTTTGGAAATATTCCTTGACACGACTTAAATCTGATGTTTCGAATAAAAGCCGTAACGCCTTCTCTTCGATCTTTTGCTCCGCAGGCGTTCCGTCTCTTCTAACAGTTTCGATGCCCTTGGCATCAAATTCAGGCTTTTGCTGATTTCTGGATTCATACTTATAGCCAACATACCGTTTTTTGGCGAGAAGTATGCATGGATGATATACTTTTTCGAACTTTAGCTTGACTGGTCGTGGATTTGAATCAGTTATGGTTTTCGCTATCTCTTCCCCAAGATCAAAGGCTTCTTCCCGTGTCCGGCCCTTTAGATAGATAAACAAGCTGTCAGTATCTCCGTAGACGACCTCAGCACCCCATCTTTTTACGGAGTGGATGAGTGCAATTGCCTTTTCTAGGGTCTCTCTAGCTGTTTGGACGATACTGTCCGCAATCTCCGAGCATGGCATCCTCCCCGAAAAGGATGCAGATGTGTAGCCATATGTAACATTGGCAATCAGCTTGAGGGCAAGTTGTCGATTATTTAACAGGCGCTGTAGAGGCCTGTCATCCTTATCCTCTTTCATGCCATTTTTCACCATGACGCGGGTTTCAAGGATTTCGGTGAGCATTTTTGCAAGTAGTGACTTCCGAACCTCTTGTTTTGCGTATATGATTCCATTCGGCGCAATGTTGACCTTATCTTTCAACAACCCCAGTAGGCCAGGCTCTCTTTCATAGTCCGTAATACCCATTTTATTTCGACCTCGCCAGTTAACGATCCTGCCCAGGTTTGTTGAATAGCAGTAATTATAGGCGATCATGATGCTTGGATAGAGAGATTGAAAATCCAAGACAAGTAAAGGACTGGTATAAAAATCACTTTGAGGTTCCATCACTAGTGGAAGACACTCTAACGCATTTTGTTGACCAACTTGCTTCCTTCTAGGGGATATCAGGACAAAATTTTCCGGCTTAGCAATGCGGAACATTAGAGACTCCACTTTGAACTGTGATCCCCTAGAAAAGACAGAGTAAAAGTCAATACCGAGAATTCTGGCTTGCTCGCTTGTCCTTGGAATCAATTCATTCGCGTCCAGAATCTCAAGGTTAAGGTCAACCCTTAAAGAGAAGTACCGTATCGTTTTAGCAACATCTCGAGGTCTGTCACTCTTGAACCACCGCGTAAGATCTTCAAAGGGATAATGAGGAATCCTCTTGTGAAGCAAATGGAAAACCACATTTTCCATGGTGTACTGAAGAAGGTTAAGCTCTCCCCTCATAGCTCTCCATATATTAATCATGTGCCTTCCGGTGACACGAATAGTGGAGGTATGGTTGAACCCCCATCTGTCTGTCTCTCTGCCGATGCGTCCATGGGATTGTGACTTTACTCTCGAGAACTCGTCACAGAGATCATAATCATAGCCTCGCCGCGCCCGTTCGATCAGGTAACCCCAGGAACCGTTGTGAACCTCATATCCTGTCAGTATATCAGGATCATAATACCTGACAATCCCAATAATTCGGTTTATAACTTCAAGTTCAGACGTTTCCTCTTGAAATTCAACTCCAAGTTCACATTTAAACTTTGACGATAGGTTACTGGTTTCAGAGAGGGCTACAATGCCACGGTGACGGCCTTCTTCCTCAGACGCAATTGACCAAAAGATACAGGCCACCTCATCCTCTTCGGGATTTGGGGCTAATGTACCACGAGTATTGACATGGACCTCCAAACTCATCACACTCATATAATTAGCTTCGTGTTGTATAGTAGAAGATTTGTCCCTCTGGGAATATTTGAAGCCATGCTTATTATGTTGAGTGGGCGCATCAATTTGGGAAATAGGGAGGCCCCGAGCGGTTGTATCCGCGGAAGAGTTTTTCAGACAGTTCTTCTGAATCTTGTCATGTTTAAACCAGTCAATGACATCGGCCGGAATGGGCGGCTTCGCAGCGAATTCCCAGGTCCGTAAACTGCACGTTCTGCGCAGCTTTTTATTCTCTTCCTCAAAAGTTGTTCGATCCAACAGAAGAGGCGGTTTCTCCCCAAGCATTGCAGGAGAAATTCCTGTAGGGTCATATGTTGGGAGAAAGGGAAGGGTATTGCTTTCGAGCTTGAATTCCTTGCCAGCATATTCGCGTGCACGCTCAGGGACATCGGTATCATTGCTATAATAAGCTTCTTGGTAGATAACGCTTGGTCTGCATTCTTCCGATATAGTATTACGGATAAATGAAGGCAATGGACACTGCGGAAGAAAACAATACACCTTGCAACCTTTGGGCAGTTGATATGACGTGATGTTTTGTAAGTTGTCTTGTGATTGTATAGTACTAGGCTCAACCTCCCCTTCGTTTGAAGAAATGATCTTATTCGTTTGGGAGGTACTTCCCCCGGGAAGAAAACATTCTTTTTCCAGGGTTCGCTGCGCTTTTCTTGACTGTTGGTTCTGTTGGCTCAGCCTCAGCACAGTAGCTGGGTTGGTGGGATCTTTAACGACTAGAAAAGGGAGACGCTGATTATCTCCGCCAGAGACTCTTGACTTCTGTGAGGAAATAGGGGGATCGCTTGTGGAAATGTCGGTTATTTCTTCCATAGTTCCTTGCGCCCTTGATCTAGACATGAGTGTTTGGGGCTGGACCCTTTTCGGGGAGGACCCAGTGTGAGGTTTTGCGGTTACTTTGATTTTCTTTTCCCTGTACTCTTCGGGGGAGCTCTCCTCGTTACGGTCTCGTTTCCTAAGCTTGGAGTTCATCAGGCTTAAGAACTCGGAATCAATGTCGAACATATCGCAGTCGCTGTTTATTGAATCTGATACTCTTCGAATGCCAAATTCTTCAAGCTGGGAAGGCTGCAAAAAGATCTCGGAGTTCAAGGTTTCTCCACGGCCCACTTGCCTTGTATCAGGTGCTAATTCTCTGCCTACCATGGTTTCAGACTCTTGATAGTCCTGGGAAATAGGGTCATCCATATCACCGTTATCAAAAATTGTATCCAATCCAAAAGAGTCAATGCGGGTTTCATCAACTTCAACATTGCCAATGTGGGCATCCATACTGATCTGAGATTGGATAGCATCTGCATGTGAACCCGAGACGTTCTCTGGATATAACTCCTGGACACTTTCTAGGGCGGTCTTAACTAGTTCATGGAACTCTGGATGGTGAACAAAATCGCTGCTTAAGGGTGAACTGTCTCTTTTCCTTCGTTCTTCTGTCACAATGGCATCTATTTGTTCACGGAACTCCCGTTCATGTATCCAACCCTCTGAATATGATTGCCGAGGGTTAGATGACATTGAAGCTAGATCCTTCTGTGAAAATGGAGTACCCTCAGATCCATTTAAGCCCAGCTTAGATTTCCTTCTTCTTTCCTCATCTTTCCAGAGGACCCTTAAGCTTGGCACTAGCTTCTCAGTGAGCAAGCCTTGGTCGGCTTCTACCACAAAGTCATGGTGTATTTCTCGTTGCTTAACTTCATGGCGATTCAATATATCTTGGACATGGATGTCCACTTCTATCGCACAGTGGCTTTGCCTCGGGAATTTGTCAGGGTCGGATATATGCTGTTGAGGAATTGATTCGTCATGCCAAAGATGGTCTGAGCTTTCCAGATTGATGTAAGAAGGCACTGGAGGGCGGAATTTAATTTTCGAACAATTAATATAAGCGCATCCGTGTAAATTGTAATCACACATCCATTGAGGGATGAACTGCAGATGGCTTTCGTATGGTTGCAAGACTCGTTTCATCACAGCACCCTGCATGAGAACGTCTGAGAGCCGCGTCATGTGCAACGGGTTTAGTAGATAAACTTTGAAGTAATACCGATAGCCTACATGGTAGCCATAGAATGGAATGCCCTTCACTAGCGATATATAGGCAACGAATGCCGTTGAATGGTCAAGGGGATTCCGCCGGTAGCTGAGAGCTAGCGCATGATCAATGGACGCATGCAACGTTCGGATAGCAGTATTAACTATTCGATATTTAGCTGACTGTGAATTGTAAGGAAGAGCGTGTCCCTAACCTTCTGCAGGATTCAAGTCCCCCTTATACTCAAGGTATAGGTAAGGTAATGCGCCGTGTATATGCGCACATACTTTCTGCCCGGTCTCTGTTGCCCCGAAAACTCGGATCACCGGAACCTTTATGGATCTTGACCTTAGTTCGGATTCATTATCATTGGATATAAACTGCGGATCAAGTTCTGTAGGGGTGGCCTGGTAGTGGTCCACGCAGTTGAGCAGGACGCGAAAGGCCGGCATTAGCCAGGTATTGACGTGATAGCATTGGAAATAAGCAAAATGGTTATATATAAATGCCTCTGATATTGTTATTAGACACTATACCATTTGATAAGGGATTTTTCTCAAGAAAACCGCCAGTTTATCCAAGTGCTGAAATTCAAAGTCGCAAATTGAGAGGTTTGATATTCAATTAATTGAAGACGCGAGAAAATCGCGCCTAGCGCCACCCACGTGACTAAACTTTTTCCAACGTCCATCTTAGCTAACTTTAACGATGGAGTGAGCTTGGGGAAGACAAGATACCAGATTTAGCAGTGAGAACACTTTTCATCGGAGTACATACTTGACCTCTGATATATAATTACGATATTGCAGTTAAAATGTCGCGGCGCCCTACCGAAGTCGCGAACAAGGAGCGCAACGAATATATCCCATCATTCATATCTAAAAAGCCTTTCTACGTCGACGACGACTCTTCTGCCAACGACTATCTCGAACATCAGCGTCTCCATAAGGAGAAAGAGGATCAAAAATGGTATGATAGAGGGAAACGTGCGGGCCCAGCTGCCACCAAATACCGGAAGGGTGCTTGCGAAAACTGCGGAGCGATGACACACAAGACCAAGGAGTGTCTGAGCAGGCCGAGAAAGCATGGCGCGAGATGGACCGGCAAAGATATACAAGCAGATGAGCATATACAGAAAGTGGACTTGGGATGGGACGCCAAACGAGACCGATGGAATGGCTACGACGCAAAGGAGTACCAAAGTGTCGTTGAAGAATATGAAGAGCTGGAAGCCTTAAAGAGGAAAGCAAAAGATGGCGCATCTGCAGCACGAAATTCCGCGGATGAGGACGGCGATGGCGATGATGACGGTGATGGTGACGGCACATCAGAGGCGAAATATGCTGAAGAATCAGAAATGGGTCGACAGCAGGGCAAAGGAACCCGAAATCTACGAATACGAGAAGATACGGCGAAGTATCTGCTTAATTTGGACCTTGATTCTGCAAAGTACGACCCAAAAACTCGATCTATGGTCGATATGGGTGCACAGTCGGATCAAGCAGCCGCGCTAGTCGCAGAGGAGAACTTTATGCGAGCTTCAGGTGACGCCCAAGAATTTGAAAAGGCACAGAGATACGCCTGGGAAACTCAAGAACGAGGAGATGCCAACAGGCAACATTTGCAAGCCAATCCTACATCCGGAGAATACTATAGAAAGAAACAGAAAGCCGAATTGGACGCTAAGAAGGCAGCCGACAAGAAGGCATTATTGGAGAAATATGGTGGCGGAGAACATCTGCAGGCAGGTCCTCTACGAGACATGGCGGTCATTGAAAATGAAAGATTTGTCGAATACGATGAAACTGGAGCAATCAAAGGCGAACCCAAACCTGCTGCTAAATCGAAATACGCTGAGAATGTGCTTATCAACAACCACACTTCTGTTTGGGGGAGTTGGTGGTCTAATTTCACCTGGGGCTATGCCTGCTGCCATTCAACTGTGAAGAACAGCTACTGCACTGGTAAAGAAGGAATAGAAGCCTTCGAGCAAGCCCAGAATATGCTTCAGATAGAATCAGGAGACGATAGCCGTGAACAAGGTCCTGCCGATGAGGTAAAGGAGGACAGGAGCGCAGAGGAGAGCCGCAGCAAACCTGCTTCTAGTGCACAAAAGAAACGGAGCCGACATGAGGTTGAAATGGGCGTCACGGAAGAGGAGCTGGAGGCATACAAGAAGGCTCGAACTGCTACCGCGGATCCCATGGCTGCATTTCTTGGCAAAGACGAACTTGTCTCATAGCCCTTGATACATTAATTCTATAATTTGTATTTATATTCCCAGCGTTCCAGCGAATATCATTTTCATGCATCTCTTTATACACGAGCTACCATTTAATATTCCTCTCAAAAGCCTACCCTCTAACTTTTTTCTGATTACGAAATCTCCCAATATGTATCGGGTTATCATTTTCCCTAACCGGTGCAGTTCATTACTAAGAGTCACGTGCCAGGGCTTTAACCCTCACACAACAAATTCGCTTAGTCGAATCTGCAAAGCGGAACTTCAATCTCAAACCAGCGACGACGACATATCAGAGCTTCCAGACGCACCATTGAAGGTATGGGAATTCTTGCTGCCAGTTACCCGTATATCCTATAACAAGAAAGATTGCTAACGTGCCTACCGGCTTTGCAGTTCCTGATTCAAGATGAGTACGACTTCCTCCATCCTAGCATAAACCAAAATCTCGAAAACATGAATATAAAAAATGACCAGAATGACGATGAACGCGATGCTAACGTCTTCGAACAGCTAAGGGAACCTCCAGCTTCGGAAAGCGCCACAACAAGTCGCACACTCTGTGCAGACGGTGCGGTTAGTGCTACCCCGATACCAAAAGAACATTTAAGGCAACCCAAAGCCACCGCCAGGGAAATTGGACAGATGTCGGGATGGTGACAATGAGAAAACAAGAGAGTCTGACAGTGGATGGAACATATAGGCCTGCGATCCCTTCACATCCAGAAGCACACATGCGCTTCGTGCGGTTACCCAGCTGCCAAGATGCGCAAATGTACGTATCCCCAACTGGAAGAATATATCTTCGAAGGACGACTGCGTTGAACTCGGATGATATACACAAATACGGACGAGTAATTACTTACACTATATGCTCTGCAGATAACTGGAGTCAAAAGGCCCTCCGACGAAGAACCACCGGTACCGGCCGCATGCGTTACCTCAAGTCTGTCGACCGCAAGTTCAAGAACGGATTCCAGACTGGCACTCCCAAGGGAGCCCGTGGCCCAGAGAAGGCATAGAAAATTCAATACCTCCGTCATACGCCTCCCTCTCTCTTTCCTTCCGGAGTTCGATGAAGATGTGGTGAAACCCGCTTTTATTTCAAAACGGTAGCCTACGAGTGGAATGGGACATGTTTTGATCCATGACACCATTTAACAATTTATTATGTGTGTTGAATGGGGATTAGAAGGAAAAAATTTAACTTCTTTTGTGTCATACCCAAACATAATATAACAAAAATTAACGGATTTCATGGACTGGAGCAAACTACGGGAAAACAAGATGGCATGTTCGCATGAGATTTCTCTTCCATCTTAAACCCTTATCGAATCATTGTGGATTAACGAGTTCATAGCTATGGCTTTACAATCGTCTTCGTGACTCTTAAAAGATTGAAAGCACCGTTATGTCGTAGATGTTAATAAAAATGGAGACCAAAAAAAGGAAATGCGCACGTTATCACTTCCGCTAGGGGTATCTTCGGATAAAAGCTTTATTCACCACGCCCAAATACTTTCACAGACCCGTCACTCTGGACAAAGTATAGGACCTCCTTCTCCTCCCAAGTATCGCCATTCTCCTCGTTCTTAAGAGTATCTGTATCTGCTAACGCTCCTCCCTTGCTCACCCGTAACACACCACTCACGTCTCTTGCCACGCCAGTGTCAAGCCCTCTCAGCTGCATAACCATTTGTGCTTGATGAGCAAGTGACACTACTAATGCTGAATGCTCTATTTCTAGTGGTGTGGGTTGTTGACTACTGTGCATCAGCGGCGAATCAGCTGCCACAGTGATAATCGTAGAATGAACAAGCTGCATATCTCAAGTCAGTAACAGTTAATTGACCACGACCCAAGCAACTTGTAATAACCCAACATACACGTCTCAATCCCATAATCAATTCGCCCATCTCGGCGGAAGCAACCTGCATGCTTGAACCTGTGGCGGCAAGAAGGAAATCTGGCTGGTCAAGGACGAGGAGCACATCATTTTCCTGCCCTTTACAGATGTCTGCTATGGCAGAGGAAATAGTCTTCTCCACCCCGTCCAAGCCACCAGGATTTCCTGGCGAAGGCGCCCAGCGGAGCATCCTTATATTCTGGATATGGTTACTGTCATTTATAGCAGAGGTAGGCGGTGTAGCAAATGCCGTAGGAGCAGCGGAAATAGGTGGTGTTGGGGGTGCTGGGCGGGCGAGTAATGGGTTCGCCCGTCCTGAAAACGATATAGGGCCAGGCTTGGGACCACGGGCATTCTGTGGTGCCCTTGGAGGAGTTCTATCAGGCAATGGGAAAGAAGGTGATGATATTGAGCTCTTTCGGGCACGAGTGGGGGAAGCCAGAGCTCCCCCTGGCACCGCAGACTGCGGTATCTGAGTAGGGGAGGGGGAGAACAGGTAGGTTACTCCATCGACGAACGAGAATTTTCCTTCCTTGGATAATTTGTTCAAATCGAGACCCTATGCAGCGTAATTAGCATTACATGCTGTAGAATCAAGTAGTAAATAGCAGGATACCTAGGGCCTTACCGCTCTCCGTGCCTCTGCCCTCCAGAATTCCCACCCTCGTAGAAAGCTGACAAGCACAACTTTCAGCTTTTTAGATCTCTTCGTGGAGTCGTCTCCTTCGAAGTCAGCCGTGTCTTCTAGGCCGTCGATATTGCCCCTTCTTAGGGATGGTATCTGTAGTGCATCACAGAGGCACCTTAGAACCAGCCAATTGCTCGTAGACCCAAGTACGGATGTTATGAGCTGTAGGGCCTGATATGGTGGCGGGGTTGTGTATGGTGCCAGCAAGGGTGCCGTTGAGGAAGACATGCTTTTCCTTTCGTTCACCACGAGCTGCTTGAGCCACAGACAGGAGTTGCTCGCTGCGTTTAACCGTGGAACGGCGAGAAAGGAGGGAGTTGCGAAGTATCACAAGCTGCACCTGTGTGGTTAGTTAGTTCGTTAATTGCGTAGGCGAAGAAATTAATAACGTAGGTGCTGTTATACTTTCGGAGATCAACCAAGTCGCCTCCTCTTCATTCCACCCGCTAACAGAGTTATCAGATAAGATAAGATCCCTGTCACCCCACGCCTATTACGTGTTTACTATCATAGTATTATCATATTAAGTAACTAGACGCTCCAGAGTAGAGAGACGAATGCGGCTGGGACCTCTTTAGAATGTAGAATAGCCTCGAATTAAGCCTTGTTGTACTAAACTAAGTGCTCCATAGCTAGGTAAGAGATCTCGCTGGGTATCAAGATAACTAATGCACCGCCGTGTTCTACAAATGAATAAATGTTCTGCCCAACCCCATAAGAACATAAGAACATAAGAACGTTACGCCGTCGCAAGTTCTGAATGCTGCGAAGTGCATAGTAGAAGTTGAAGTGTTTAGGTTAGATATTAAGGAGCATCTCCAGCTGGTTGACGGCTGATGGATCCACATCGCCATCCTCTTCCATCATCTCTACTTCTTCGTCTTCAATCATCTCCTCTGGTACTGGTGAACCATCGAGGAATGAGGGTGTCGGGTCATCCTTCTGTGGAGGAGGTCGATTTTCTTGGTCCTCCTCTAGCTTTGGATGCGCTGCGGAGAGCTTTGGCTGTGGGTTGTCTGTTTTGGGCGTTCCGATTTGAATATTTTCGTTGCTGATGTCGAGAAGGCTCGATTGCTCTTCCATTGGAACTGATCCATGTCCGCTTGAGTCGATGGTGCATGGAGTAAAAGGGGTGAATATTTCATCGTCAATCTCGATCAAGCTGTCAGATTGCAGCTCTGTGTCCAATAAAGGAATAGCACCCTTGGCCTTGGAGCGCGTATCACCGTCAACCGAAACCATCTGGTCAAAGGCATCCCCGAGTCCATCGAAGGGATCAAAGCCCAAATCTTCCTGGAAGAGCTCAAGCACTTCTCCTGCATGTTGAATACCTCCAGCTGTCTCGACGTCACGAGGGGTATTGTTAGCACCTTTGATACCATTAATTCGTCGGACTCTCGATTGTTCGTATGCAGCTGAAGACCATGTTATAAGTTTCCCTCCGCCTTCCACGATTCCAGCATCATCAAAGTGCCGATTGGCAATTTTTCCCAGAACCGGTTGGAGGACCCAGGGGAAACTGATGAGAGGTAATTGATCATTGCTGAGGTGTTTATATGCCTTCTTGATGGCATCGCCAACATCATGTCCAGGGGAGGATTCTTCTTTACCTAAAGCCTCCGCGACTTCCTGCGCTGTCACTCTATACATTGCGACAGCCAGGGGCGCAAGATGCTGGAAATCCTTCCCACCAGCTTCGTCGTGGCACATCAGCAAGAATCGTTCACGCAATGCAGATGATATCTGGCCAAGTTCTTCGTGGAATTTATAGTCCTTGCTCATGTTTGCGTGACCTAAGACAAAGGTTGACCAGACCTCAAACTCAGTTTTAATTTCATGCTGAGCCATGATTCTTCGCATGTCAGCGTCATAAAGAGCCTTCAGCTTCTTTGCGGCCAGTACCATTTCTTCGCTGACAGAAATATCACAGTTAAGGATGCGTTCATCGAAAGGGGCTTCAAGCTTTGGCCGAAACTCAACGCGCTCAACAATATCATAAATCTGACCGAGGATCTTCTTCGAATGATATTGCGCTTCTTTTGGTTTGTATTTTTTCTCCATAAAGTGAGGCCATTTTCTTGGAACCAAGTCTCTTGTCATGTTAGCTGGGATGCCACTTTTATTATAGTCAACGGCTGCGGAGTGTAACTGGGCTAGTTGAACGCATCTCTTATCATTCACTCCATCTTCTAGAAAATCCGCAAAGGCAAGGTGTGCATGCGCTATCTGTGGAAGGCGATCATTTTTCATATAAGTAACAAAAAATGACGTGATGTCATTTACAGTAACATCACGAGTGAGGCTTTGAGCGTTCGATGCGGTATAATCCATTGGCTGTCGGAACCAATCCTTGGGAAGAGGGACTAGATCTTGATCCCAGATGACAATGTAGTCATCGCCGTCTAGGTCACCTCCAGAGCATGTACTTGGAACATCTCGATCCCCAGTTTGGGAGAAAACAATGACGTCCTTTAGGTGATGTAGTGCCGGAACATTAACGGCTCTCACCACACGAATGTCTCCAGGATGCAAGGAGGGGTTCCTCGCTAGAATACATGGCCCTTCGATTATCTTATAATTTCTCTCCGCTTCAGCGTCGAACACCTGAACAAAAATCTCGGGAAGATAGCCAAGTCTTTCCTCGTAAGTGGCATCGATGGAAGGCCGTGTCTTCTCATGGTAGCCTTTCAGTGTCGCAGTCTCGTCCAGACAGCCAAATAAGCATGCTCCTCCATCTATACAAATCTTTGCCTTCTCCTTCAGATACTTGATTTGCCATGCACGCCATAACTCTAGCAGCGATGTAACAAATGGATCGGAGGTACCTTGGAATCCATCGTGAACCATTTGCGCGAGTAGGAGCGTCATTTGGTTAGGGTCAACCTGTTTTTGAAGCAAAGACATTGCCTTTGTTTCACTTGTCATTGCTTGTTCCATATCCTCGAGCATCAAGCGCAGCTTCTTGATAAAAATCTCATCAGTCACTCCTAAAGCTGACAAAACCACGATGAGCTGGCGGTTAAGATATGCCGCGGCGAACTGAGACCATCTGATGATCTCAAGGCCATTGTGAACTGCTGCAAATTTGTATTGACTCTTTTTAATGTGCACTTCTCGACGCTGTGCCTCAGGTGAAACAGTCAGGATTCCTTTACAGCCACCAAGTCGGAACTGGAAGACAGACGGAGGTTCCTCCGAAGGAGTTTTTAGTTTAAATTCGGTCATAATCATTTGCGCGAGGAACTTAGAGATGCGGCCAACGCCATCAGAGAATGTGTATCCATTGCGCTCAATCTCATCAATTTCTCTGATGGTTACTGGACAGCCAGTAACAGCTTTGGTGCTTGAAAAACATTGACCTAATCGGGCGGCATGCTTTGCGACAATTTTAATGTCACTGAAATGTCCCATCCATGCACGGATATTGGATGCAGTAAGATTAGGTAGAGAGGCGAAAAAATATGCGCCATGTTCCCGGAATTGAGAGTTGCCAAATGCGAGGAATTCATAGTGTCTATCCCCCACAATAACTCCATTGGTCATAGTCCGCTTCACGCGAGTAAAAACCTCATCCATACAGTTGTTGTAGGTTGAATTGATCCTCCCTTCATACTTTTCATCAGTGAATCGGACACGGAGGAACCTGTCTGCGTATTCAATGTAATGTCTTATCACTCGGTTGGAGGTATCAACTGTAGGGGTATGGAAGTAGATCGTGGAGGGTGTAACAGTTGCCGAGCGCATGTAGCAGCAATACTTTGGAATTCTCCTATTGGTCACACCAGAGAAGAATTGAATATCGAATATCTTCATGGGGTCATGGTATACGACCTTTTCATGGGCAACGTATTCTAGCAAATCCTTAGCATCACGCTCTCCAAGGGACTCAAGTTTCTTGGCGAATTCCTTGTCAATGGCGTATTCGCTTAGCAGCCCATGAGAAATGCAGACTTCAAGTTGATATCGTACAACGTATGAAATATGTGTGTACTCATTCTCTGCAAGATCCTCGAGGGATGATGTGTGTTTGGAGGCATGAGTAGAAGGAGGGTCAATCCACCTCCACGCAAGGTCTGCTGTGGGAGGTTGTTTCTTCAATTCGAAGCTATCAATATCCTGGATATCGACATTGAAGTCCTTCAAGATCTTGCTAAGCGTTTCTAGGTTTTGGACATTGTCTGCATCAGGTAAATGGAAAGTTATCCTAAAAGTTGTCCAACGTCCTAATAGTACTTGAATTAGCATGGCGATTAAGTATGGTTACATTAGGTGCCAATTAGATACTAACCTATGTTGATCACTGGATGGGCTTTTTTAAGGCTCGTCTTGGAATGAACCAGGTCCAGGGGGTTGTGGACGATATCAGTTTGGCGGTACCATGTGTCATCTGAGCGCCAAGTATTGTCAGAGTCTGAAAAAGTAGTTGACAGGTCTTGCAATTTCCGGTGATATGAGGGCGGGGAGTCCAATGAGAAGATAAAGGACAGTTCTTCACCCTCAGATATACGTTTAATACTCGAGAGGTGAACAAAGGGAACACGGATGCGGTAGCTATGGACTGTATGCGGTAAGCTAGTAGGCGGGCGTGCTTCTGTCTTTACCATTTGGAAGAAGATATTGATCTCCCGGCGCTGCAAGTCAGCAACAAAACGAATATAGTCTTGGAAGCTGGCGGTAATAGTTCTCATGATAATCATGGATTGCTCTCCGGAAAGACAGCCGATATCCAGTGATCTACCCACAGCCTCCTAATCATTGTTGGTCAGTTTTATGCTTTTCCATAACTAACCACATAAACAGGCCACTTACAAGCGATAGAGGATACATAATCTTTGGGTCCACCGGGCTAGGGATCTCCTTTCTGCGTTTGAACGTATCCACACGGGCTGAGATGACGATACGCTGGCCATCTTCGAGCTCTAACAGGTGCTGTCCGTCTAACCAGAAGGATTCTTTTGGTGGCGGTCTTTTACAATGTTAGTTTGATCAATGGAATAGCCACAACCCTCTGATACTAACCTGAATCGAATCCGTGCCCTTCCCTCACTCTTGCCCCTAACATCCTCAGATAATTCGATGTAGTCCACTGTCCCACAAGCACTAAACGACTTCCAGAGGGTATACGTATTCACATTGGGAGGAAGGTTTGACACCGTCACCGCCAGAAAGTCCCATGAAATCCAGCGAGGAGCTAGATGCGAGGGTTTAACGCGTTCCAGCATGGTCTGATTTGACTTGTGCGAGCTCTGGGTGTAAATTCCAGGAGGAAACGCGCCATGGACACGTCCATTAGGACCTCCTCGACCAGCTAGCGAATATCTACTGGGTAGAAGCCGGTTAGTGAGTGAAGTAAGGGAATATTAAACTTGAGGTCAGCAGAAGCAGCATAAGAGTCAGCTTACTTTGCGCGATTGGAGTAACAGCTCATCTTGAGACGAGCTTGAACTGCTTTAGCCTGTTTATCTAACAGCTCTAAAGCTCCATATTCACATTGGTAGGTATTTTTGTTTTTGTTCTGGAA